AGGGTCCGTCGGGCGGTATACGGCCCCCGGGCGGTATACGGCCCCCGGGCGGTATACGGCCCCCGGGCGGTGATTTTGGGTATATTTTAGTGATTTTCATATTTCTTTTGTGATTTTGGCCATATTTTAATGATTTCTAGTGTTTTTTTGCAGTTTTGGGTAGTAATGGTCCCGGGAGGTCCCGTTTGGCATGATGTCCGGCCTTGGATTTGACATGGTGTCGGGCCCCTTCGAAAACCCGCCCCGGGAGGTCCCGTTTGGCATGGTGTCGGGCCCCGTCCGCGGCGGATGGTCTCCCGTGGGGAATCGGGGCCAGATTCTCCACGGGAGACCCCCCGCCGCGGACAGGGTCCGTCGGGCGGTATACGGCCCCCGGGCGGTATACGGCCCCCGGGCGGTATACGGCCCCCGGGCGGTATACGGCCCCCGGGCGGTGATTTGTGTATATTTTAATGATTTTCAATGTTTTTTTTTTTTTTTTTGCGATTTTGGCCATATTTTAATGATTTCTAGGGTTTTTTTTTGTAGTTTTGGGCAGTAATGGTCCCGGGAGGTCCCGTTTGGCATGGTGTCGGGCCTTCGAAAACCCGCCCCGGGAGGACCCGTCTCGGAAAATTGAATTCCGAGATAACGTCGAAAAAAGGCCACTCTAGAACACATTTTTCTTTTAAAAATATTGAATTTCTGCGATCAGCGCCCGGGAACCCTTCCAGGCCGATTCGAACACTTGGGCCAGCGCTCGGGAGATCCCGTTTGGCATGATGTCGGGCCCATGGGCGCTTCTTGCCAATGGTCCCGTTTGGCATGGTGTCGGGCCCATGGAGGCCCCTCCCGGAGATATCGTTTGGCATGATGTCACGAACACGCCCCGAAAATTTGGTCCCGGGAGGTCCCGTTTCGCATGGTGTCGGGCCCCCTAGACCCGCCCTGGGAGATTCCGTTTGGCATGGTTTCACGATCACACCCCGAAAATTTGGTCCCGGGAGGTTCCGTTTGGCATGGTGTCGGGCCCCCTAGACCCGCCCCGGGAGATTCCGTTTGGCATGGTGTCGGGCCTATGAGGGCCTCTCCCGGAGATATCGTTTGGCACGATGTCACGGATCACGCCCCGAAAATTGGTTCCCGGGAGATCCCGTTTCGCATGGCGTCGTGCCCCCTAGACCCACCCCGGGAGATTCCGTTTGGCATGGTGTCGAGCCATCGAACCCGCCCCGGGAATTCCGTTGGGCATAGTGTCACGAATCACGTCCCGAAAATTTGGTCACAGGGCCCATTGGGGGGTTCCCAGAAAACCCCGTCCGCGACGGATGCTCTCCCGTGGGGAATCTGGGCCAGATTCTCCACGGAAAACCACCCGCCGCGGACAGATCATTTGGGGAGGTTCCTAGCGGATCTCAGGCAGAATAGAGGCGTCACAGGCGTCATCGGGCGTCAGCCGAATAAAGGCGTCAGAGGAATAGAGGCGTCACGGGCGTCATCGGTCTTCAGGCGAATAGAGGCGTCAGGCAGAATAGAGGCGTCAGGAGCGTCAGCGGGCGTCAGCCGAATAGAGGCGTCAGCCAGAATAGAGGCGTCACAGGCGTCATCGGGCGTCAGCCGAATAAAGGCGTCAGAGGAATAGAGGCGTCACGGGCGTCATCGGTCTTCAGGCGAATAGAGGCGTCAGGCAGAATAGAGGCGTCAGGAGCGTCAGCGGGCGTCAGCCGAATACAGGCGTCAGACCGAATAAAGGCGTCACGGGTGTCAGCGATCGTCTGGCCCATAGGAACGACAGGGCAAATACGGCGCCGAGCGAATAAAGGCGTCAGACGAATAGAGGCGTCAGAGGCGTCATCGGGCGTCAGGCCAATAGAGGCGTCAGCCAGAATAGAGGCGTCACAGGCGTCATCGAGCGTCAGGCGAATAGAGTCTTCAAATAGAGTCTTCAAAACAATAGAGTCTTCAAATAGAGTCTTCATCTTCAGGCCGAATGGGGAACCCACCGGGCCCCCCTGTATATATATATATATAGATCTATAAACGTAGTGAGAGAGCCGCTTTCCAGCGATTCCCTTCTCAGTGCTTCTCCCCCCCTACCTTCCCTCCCGCCCTCTTGCTCTTTCCTTCCTGCCTCTGGGGCGCAGGGGGCTCGGCCGCGGCGCCGGGGGAGAGGTGCACTCAGGCCTATTACCAGGCCAGGGCCGCCTGCGCCGACTTCCCGTGGCCGGAGCCCATCGAGCGCGCCCACCCCGCCCGCGCTCGCCGTCGGCCGCCTGGCGCTCCTCTGAGAATGATTCTGACGCGCAGACCCCAAACGGTGGTTCGTTGCAACCTATGGTTGTGGAAGTCGATGTACGGAGAGGAAGCATGCTGCCAAATCATTTCCAGATGTCTAACAGATGTTTCCAACATGTTTTAACTGTTAGAAGCATGCTCGAAACATCGTTACAACACGTTTCACACATTTCAAACACATCTTTAACTCAATGATCGGGTTGTTCGAGTGTCCATTGTCGTGGCATCCACAAACCTATGGGGTGCGGTCTGTGGGGGGCGGTCTGTCGTGTGTCGGGTCGCAATCGATGTGGGTCAATATAGACGGTTCACCGCGCAACCCCACGGCGGTCTCACGGCGGTACCCACGGCCCACGGCGCCATGTACCGCACACTGCCCACCCCACCGCCATCCGCGCGACCAACCGCGCGAACTCCGTTTTGGCCATTGAAGTGACGGCTGGAAACGAGCTGCCCGCCCACCAGTTACGTCCAGCATCCGATGGCGGCGACGGCCGATCTCTGTCAACATATGACAGCTGCTGACAGCGCAGGCAGAATAATACTCTTGTGCGCAAAAGCACTGCTCTGGGAAACGTGGGCTCGGGTGTCCCAGATTGAGAGCACAGGCAGCAGGATCATGTGTTATTTTCAGGAGGGGAAAAACACAGACACAATTCATCGTCGTTTCCCAGGAAAGTATGCGAACATATGGGAAGTTTGTGGAAGACAAAACCCAGGAAATATGGGAAATATGGGGAATCCTGTTATTTGTGTCTCTTTATTTGTGTGTCCCAGGGCCCCTTCACATGTGTTATTTGTGGTGCGTGTTCCCCCCTGAACGTTGTGGCGTAGCCTGCAGCCTGATGCTGCGGCAGTCCCTGACTGAGCTTAGGGGGTTCGAGTTTGTAGATGTTCCGGCTCGATTCGCCCGGGAACACACATTGAGGAATTTGGCGCGACCCCAACTAGAACAATTTTTCCCATGTGTGCATGCGGGAGTAGACCGAGACGACGGAAGACCACGCGATGCCCGACGAGAAAACTACGCGATGCCCAAGGAATCAAGGAATTGAGATCGAGGAACCAAGACCCAGGCGCATAGGGCCAATACCGAGGAACCAAGCAGCCAAGAAGCCGGGGAACCAAGGAACCAGGGAGCCACGACCAAGCAAGCAAGGAACCAAGACCCAAGGAACCACGGACCATAGAACCACAGAGTCAAGGAGCCAAGGAACCAAGATTTAGGATCCGAGGAACCAAGACCAAGGAACCACGGAACCAAGGCCAAGGAACCGAGGAACCAAGGGAACCAGGGGAACCCAGGCAAATGCCTCGTAAGGAAACACGACCAAGGAACCTGGAGGAACCCCTAGTGTAAGGAAACGGGACTAAGAAGATTCCAGGGAACGTGGCCACGACCGAGCCTCGCTCCCACTGGTTCTCAAATAACACGGGCGAACCCCTAAGGCAAATCCTAATTGGGGCAGGAAGTCAGAGCGTGCGATTTCACGCACGTGCTCTCGCGCAGACTTGTTGATGCCTTCTTCCCGCAATCAGCAATGAGACTTGTTGATGCCTTCTTCCCGCAATCAGCAATGAGCTTGGACGAATGACATGTCTGGTTGGAAAAGGCAATGCCAAGTATTTGGTCAGGCTTCAAACATCAATGACGCCCGCAAACAAGAAGCGTGTCGTTTGCGTCAAAACTCAGATGGGGCGTATTCTGGATGCTACCTCGCAGGAGCCTGGGGTGCGGAGTCCAGGATGCGGATCTGAGGGTGCTTCATCGGGGGCCGAAAAGTGAGTTAATGATGCTCTTCTTCGTGAGAGGCACTGGAACAGGCGGGCTGGGACTCGAGGCTCCTGGCCTTGCTCCTCCCCCCCCGTGCGCATCCTGCCAGCGCAAGGCCGTCGCAGCCCGCGGAGATGCTGAACGCGACCCGGCTCATCTGAGCTCTGCAAGCCTAGGACGAGGGCGGGCACGACGCGGGGCCGACGACGCCGGCTCCTCAAAGGGGGAGGCAGGCACACAGTGAGGAGTCGGCCTGCTCTGTCAGCTCCTGCTTTTTGGCGATGACACAAAGCATGGCATCCGTTCTCCATTTCCCCGGGCGCCACTGGCTATGTAGAGCTGCCCCATGCGGGGACCGCCGCGGCGGCGATGGATCAAGATGTGCAATCAAATCTCCCTTGGCGATTCGCATCGCCGGTGGCATCCTTCCTCCTCCTCCTCTTTTTCATTGGGATCTGCCCTTGCATGTCTGCCTTTTCTCTTACGTGTCGTCGGCCCTGTTTTTATTCCCCCGTGCCTCTGCGTTTCCCCTTCGGGCTTCTTTTTCGCCCTCCTCATGTTCCTTCGCCTTGATGCTTCGGCCTGCCTCCCCTGCCTCCCCACCCCCTTCTCCTCGCCGTCTACCGCTTCGGCCCACACGCTGCTTTTTTAAAATCTTCTTTACCTTTCTCGTGATTCCACGCTCTGATCCTCCTCGGTCCGCTTGAGGTAAGGGGGAGGGACAACCGTCTGAAAAGGATAGGCGTTAGTCGCAAAGCTCCTTGCCGAGTGAGGCGAGGTGTTTCATGGAGCGGGTCCTCCTTCCCCCTCTTCGCTCCTTCTCGCAGGGCTCCCCTCAAGTGGCCGGCACTTTGTCGGGCAGCGTGGGTGCCGACAGTTGCCAGTTCACTGACTTCTGGTCACGCTCGCACCGCAGGGGGTTCTGCTTGCCCCCCGTTCCTGTACTCCTTTTGCCCCCCCCCCCCCCACGTGCACACCTTTGAGGCCCCGCTCCCCCTGGACCCCCCACCAGCCCCGAGGGGAGAGCAACGTTGGCCGAGCCTGCCCAGCCCGCCGAAGCCCTCCGGGGTGACTGGGGGGCTGGGGAGTCCGAGCTCGCAATAGGCGCATCCCTGGAGGGCCCAAGCCTGCTGTCCCCGCCGCGTTGGCCCACAGTCCCTCTGGGGTGGCGGCGCTCGCGGCGGGGCGGTCAAAGCCCCGAGGGGCCTTCCTACACTCTGATAGTCCACTCTGATAGTCCACTGCTCTCTCCTCCCGACACAATCAATCGTCGACTCCCAAGAAAATATGGGAAAATATGGGAAATGGGGGGGAAGACAAAAACCTAGAAAATATAGGAAAATATGGCGAATCCTTTTACTTGTGTGTATTTATTTGTGTGTTCCTGGGCCCTTTCACTCTCCTCCCGAGGTCCCCCCCCTTCCCTTCCCGCCTCTCCCCTCCACCCGGCCGCGCTCCATGGCGGGGCGCCGGGCGGGGCCGCGGGGGGGGCGCGGGGGGCGCGGCCGCAGGGGCCCCCCCGCCGGCCAGGTTTGGGTGGGGAGGGCGCCGGGGTGATCCGAGTGCTCGCTGCCGTTCCCGCGACGCAAGATTCGCACGCGCGATGCACCTGACAATGTGCGCTTGTTCGGGAACTGGAACATATACATTGCCAGTGGCGGGCTGTTTTTCAATCCCAGGGTTTCTTGAGGGTCGAGGACGACGCTGGGGTGGTGTGGTGTATACTTGTTTCCCCGATATCCCGGGAAAGCAACGAAAAATGTATATACCAGGCTCCCGTATACACCAGGATCCGCTCTGCAGTGCAAATTCTGATGCAGGGCCGGAAGAAGCTTCGGTGTATAGATTTCGATTCCCTACTTGTTTCTGCGTCGTTGCCGCCAGCGCCGCCGCCGACACAGTCGCCACCGTCCGACACCGTCCACGTTTATTGCCACGCCGGCGAGCTGCCGGTCTGCGTCACGGTTCTCCTCATCAGTCCTGCGGCGCATCGACCAGAGCCCGGAGGGGAAACACTGAAATCATGGACAGACGCACGAGTCCCAGCGCGCGCATGTCGAAACCATGGCAGTCACGTCTATGTTCCAAGCAAATCAGGATATATGGTTCCAGGCACATCTGAGACCCACTGTTCGCCAGAACATAATGATGTCAGTGTATCTGCGCGCCCATCCATCATCATCATCAACAGCACCATCGTCATTCTCATCGCGAATGTCCTCACTGCCATCGTCGTCATCATCACCATCATCGGCATCACCATCACAACCGCCATCATCATGTCCACCTCCGTCATCGTCATCATCATCACCATCATCACCATCATCACCATCATCATCAGCATCATCATCATCATCTTCATCTTCACCTTATTATTAAGCTTCATATTGTAGTGGCCTCCCGCCAGTGCCGCCGATCTGGGGCGCTCGGGATGATGATGATGATGCTGATGCTGATGCTGATGCTGATGATGATGATGATGATGATGGTGGTGGTTGTGGTGGTGGTGATGATGATGACGATGATGATGACGATGATGATGATGATGGTGGTGGTGGTGATGATGATGATGATGGTGATGGTGATGGTGATTGTGATGATGATGCTGCTGATGATGATGGTGATGATGATGATAATGGAGATGATGATGATGATGATGATGAGGATGATGATGATGATGATGATGATGATGATGGTGGTGGTGGTGGTGATGTTGATGTTGATGATTATGATTATGATGATGGTGATGATGATGATGCGGCTGGTGATGCTGCTGCTGCTGATGATGATGATGATGATGATGATGATGATGGTGGTGGTGGTGGTGATGATGGTGATGATGATGATGATGATGATGATGATGATGATGATGATGATGATGATGATGATGATGATGATGATGTGATGATGATGATGGTGATGTGACGATGGTGATGGTGATGGTGATGGAGATGGTGATGATCCTGGCCCCCCACCCCAACCCCTCCTCTCTCCTGTCTCTCCTGTCCCCCCCCTCTCTCCTGTCCCCCCCCCCTTCTCTCCCCCCCCCCCCTCTCTCCCCCCCCCCCTCTCTCCCTGCCTCCCCCCCCCTCTCTCCTGTCCCCCCCCCCTCTCCCCCCCCCCTCTCTCCTGCCCCCCCCCCCCTCTCCCTGTCCACAGCCTCCCTCTCTCCCCCCCCTACCCTGCCCCCCCCCCCCTCTCTCCTGCTCTCCTGCCCCCCCCCCCTCTCTCCTGTCCCCCCTCCTCTCTTCGTCCCCCCCCCCCTCTCTCGTCCCCCCCCCCTCTCTCCTGCCCCGCCGCCCCCTCTCTCCTGGGGGCTGGCAGGGGGGGGGAGGCGCCGAGCACTTAATCGTCAGGTAATTACGTCCCCCCCCCCCTCCCCCCCTCCCAAGCAGAGCTGAAGCTCATGCTGAAGCAGAGCCTCAGCTTAGACTTCTTCAATGATACCGGGGAAAAGCCCCAATCAGATTTTTTTAATCTTCCAATTGCTCCCTTTGCAATCGGGCTATAGGGCGGGCTATAGGGCTATAGGGCTATAGGGCTATCGGGCTATATGGCTATAGGGCTATCGGGCTATAGGGCTATAGGGCTATCGGGCTATAGGGCTATAGGGATATAAGGCTATTAGGGCTATAGGGATATCAGGCTATAGGGCTACAGTGCTATAGGGCTATACGGCTATAGGGCTATAGGGCTATAGGGCTATAGGGCTATAGGGCTACTGGGCTATTGGGCTATTGGGCTATTGGGCACCCCCGGGCACCCAGGCACCCCCAGGCACCCGGGCACCCGGGCCCGGCCACCGAAATCGGCCACGCACCTCACCGGCCACCCGGGCACCCGGGCACCGCCGAGCACCCGGGCACCCGGACACCCGGGCCCGGCCACCGAAATCGGCGACGCACCTCACCTAACCCTTTAATCCGCTATGACCCCTACAGAGGCAAGCTCTGATTTGGGAAAATGCTGAAGCAGTGCTTCAGCTTAGACTTCTTAAACTCACACACCGGGTCGGCGGATTTATCTCCATCTTCATTTTCATCTCCATATTCACCTTCACCTTCACCTTCACCTTCATCTTCATTATCATCTTCATTTTCATCATCATATTCACCTGCACTTTCATCTTCAGATTCATCTTCATCTTTATCGTCACCGTCATCGTCATCGTTCTTGTCATCGTCATCATCATCTTCATCTTCATCGTCATCATCAACACCGCTGCATTGTCATCACCATCGTCACCGTCATCAGCATTGTCGTTGTCGCCCTTGTCGTCTTTGCAGCCACAGTAGTTCTTGACGCTTCACGTATGCCCACCATCACTCTGGTACGCCGGATAGGCGGCTCTGTGTATGCTCGTCACGTTAGATGCTCCCTGGTACGCGTCCCTGCTCCTATCTCCGGTTGGCAGTCGCCTGCGACTTGTGCCCAGTAGAGGTTTGGGACAGTTGTACCTTCCGCATAGCGTCACATCATGTTACCTATTCGAGGTTGTCTCCCGGGCCTGACGTGCCTCGTTCGGTTACTGACACCACGAATTTCGCGCCTTTTGGCTTCGTTGGTGCGTACTCTGAAGCTGCGACGGTTCGCTGGCGCTGTCAGGGTCCAACCTCTCCCTACGGTATGCAGTCTGGCGACAGCTTGCGTGTCTCTCGGTCGCTTCTGCTTGAGCATGGCAGACACCCTGGGACCTCTTGGTACGCCATTCCCGCGCCGAGGTTGGCAGATTCCCTACTGTTCAGATAGTGTCTCAAGCGGCGTACTGTTTGGCTATGGCCTCTGACACTTTGGGGGTATTTGCATCGCGCCACTTTGGCAGCGTAATTACTGCTCCCTGGGTGCTGGTCCCTGGTCATCAGACTCCCTGGGTTGCAGCGCCCTTGCACCCGCCGCCTTGGCGCCGGCCGCGGCCCGCGCGCGCGTCCGGCCAATTAGTTTCGGCCGCAGCCCGACCGTTATTCGCCGCCGCTGGCGCTTCCGCCCGCGGCTGTAAAAAAAAGAAGAAGTATGCCCACCAGCACGCCGCCTACGTGCGGTACGGCCCAGCAGCTCGGTAGCCGCCAGCCATCGTTTCGCCACCGGCGTCGGGGTATTCGGCTTCCGCACGGGCAGCGTGGCAGGTGTGGAGTGGGTGCGGCTGTCAGCCATACATTCGGTGACACCCGGTGTTTGGCTTTCTCGAGTGAGTGGCCCTGCATTGAATGGTTCAGCCTTCTGCAGTTTGTGGTCGTTCTCCTTTCAGAGCAGCCCCAGCTACCAGCCCTCGTCAGGACATTGCATCGTTGTGCCCCCGAACTGCGTGAATCGGATACGATGTGCACGCACTGGCTACCGGCTGGAGGTGGCTCAGCCTCGTGAACGCACACCAGTGGTCTTCCTCTACTGGATGGCTCTCTGACGCGGATCAGCCACACCTCAGCTTAAGTGAGCCTTGATGAGTCAGGCCTCTTTCGCCGCACCATCGTTTACCCGGGGTGCTGCAGTGAGTCTGGGTTAGTCGCTCGCGCTCGCACTCTCCCCCCTCTCTTTTCCAAGGTCTTGGACGGCCTGTCCCTGTGTGCACGCACGTGGGCTTCGCTTGGTCATTGGCCATTCGGATCCGCGTTCTGCCTGCGGCTTTACAATGCCCCGCTGTCCGTCTTGGCCCCGCTTCCGAATGTGGTTCGGCTGGAGCTTGGCGCCGCAAGGGCGACTTCTCCCCCCCTTCCGCTGCCGGTCGCCGCGCCTTTGCTTCCCCACCTGCCGGGATGTCTGGGCCGGTCACCTGCCGACGCTGTCTTGCGTCTCGATGAGGGGCATTTTGTCCCTGGCATGTGCATACGCCACTGCGGCCAATTTACATCGTACCGCGCCCCGGACGTTGTGCCAGCTCCCTGTCCCTCGCCTTGGAGCCGCGAACCAAAAAGTATGCCCGCCAGCCGCCCGAGCTGACTTGTGACGCCGCGGGCGCCTTCGCCTGCGGTTGCGACAAAAAGTACCCCCACCAGCTCAAGTACACTTGGGGACCAGGCCATCCCGCGCCGGGCTCCTGTGTCTGGAGGCCCAGCTCTGGCCTGGGATGTGACGACCGATGCGGCCTCCCCGAGTGGGGCCGCTGGGTGGAGTGCTGGGCCGGCGCATCCTGGAAAGCTTCCTGGCACTGCCGCATCTGCCTGGTGCATATCTGGGACATCGCGCCCAGCGTCCTCGAGGTCATTCTGGACAGGTTCTCTGTCCGCATGTGCCCTCCCCCACCAACGAAGAGGCCCACCAGGCCCAGACCCACCGCCGACGACGGCCTGCGCGGCGAGCTCGGCCACCCGCGGGCCGTGGCAAGGCAGGACGACGTGACGCCACCCCGGTCTCGCCGCCCCCGACCGTTCAGACACCAGTCGGTGCGAACACATCCTCAGCATCCTGCCGCGTCTCCCCCCGCCCGCGTGCCCCCCCGTGAGTCGCCGTGATGTCGAGACCTATCTCGCAGCAGCAAGCGACCAACGTGGGACGGAAACGCTTCCCTGGCACTGGCAAGGCACGTCCGCTGCTTGGACCCAGCCTCCGACCACGCCTGGATCACCCTCACCTCCCAGGCGGGCCCCAAACCGGACGACTGGAACGACAGCGCGTGGGAACACAAACTGGCCTGCGCCTGCATCCGTTCGTTTTACACCAGCACACTTACCGACGACGGAGCCCGCGTGGCACCACTTGGGATGGCAAGAGATGGGCGGCCGTTTGCCCGGTGCGTCGCTTTGCCCAGAAGGCTCTGATGGGGCACGCCTGGAGGCTCTATGCTCAGAGGGGCGTTCCGCTCAAGGACGCCGACCTCGCCCACCGCAGCATTCGCGCCCTCGTCGATTGGTTCGCAAGCCTCGAACCCGACTTGCTAACGGACGACGTCCTGTCGGACGGGGAGATAGGCGGAAACGACGCGGACCCAACAGCAGCGTCGTCCGGTGCGGCCACGCCCGCGCAGGCAGCCCGCCCTCCACCCAGCGCGCAGGCGGGAGCAGAAGACGGGGAGACCACGGATACATCAATTGGCGACCAAGAGGGACTTCCATCCTCTCAGCCCCAGGGGAAGACGGAACGTCTGGCCGAGCTCCAGACCCAGACCCGGATTGGACTTGGGGGCCGGAAACCGAGGCACCACAGAAGAGCCGAAACCCCCCAGCGGGCGACGACCCCATCCTTGCACCTACCGACGAGGAGGCCAGCTCCAAGCCCCCTCCCCGCACCGTGACCCTCTGCGCTGCCGCGCCGGCTAGCAGCGACCGCGACGCCGCTGACACTTGGAAGCCGCTCGCGCCGCCCGACTCCTGGGCGAAACAACTGGCAGCAGTGGCCCACCACAGGAGACCTTGGACGCGCGCGGAGGGACACGGAAAGGGGCGCGACCAAGCATGGAGCCCCCTACGACCAGGCCAAGCGGCACGCGGACCGCGCGCGGAGTCCCAACAAAAGCAGGTGGACCAGTTACGGCTTCAGCCGGAATGCCCATGATGACGGGCTCGCGCGCGGATCCAGCTGATCAAGCTACAAGTCGTGGGAATATGACCCCAGGGGTAGGGCCACGCAGCACGCGCCGTCCCGAGGAACCAAGCTGTTGGCATGTGGGTACGAGGAGTCTGGCGCGATGTGGCCGCCAACCCCTTCGCGCCAACCGACTGCCGCACCCATGACGGCAACCGGATTTATAAGACGCGCGACCAGATGTATAAGACACCTACGCACCTAGTTGAGGCCTAAGGTGCGGCCGAAAGCAGCCCTGCCTTCATCGGAAGGATGCAATCCGAGCTCGGAACCACATTCAACAGGGTCTGGCACAGTTGCACCGAGTGCAGAGCAACTCGTCCCGGTCTCGCCCCACAGGGCCCACGCATGCAACCCCGGGCCGCCTGCGATGAATTCCTGGCTGCCTGGCGACAGAACAGTTACGACGCCCATTCTCTCAGCCAACAATACAGACTTCACGCCGATTTCGCCTGCGCGCGCCAGGGCCAGGCGACGGGCGACCGGAGCAACGCCGGGCGCCCAGGCAAAGGGCTAGACCGCGATGCCTCCGTGGTACGAAGCGGCAAGCAGTGCAAGCGCAGCCACAGCTGGGACGAACCTGCTACGGACAAGAGACACCGCTGGTAGCCACCTTTCATCATTCCCACCGCGTCTTCCTCCCCGCGCCCCCGCCTCGCGTGGGATTCTATTCTTGTGCTTGCAGCGATCAGCTGCCTTCCCCCCCCTTCCCTCCCGCCGTCGCTTTCTCCACGTTTGCCCGCTGCGACGGGGCTTCGCCTTGGGTGCACCTCTGCCGAGGTCTTGTGTTCTTCAGTCATCAGCTGCCAGCTCTACCTTAGGTATCCCTCTGCCGAGGTCATCCACTCAGTCGAGGCGATTTGCTTCCGTCCAGCTGCTTCTTACGAACCTCTTGCGGATCTGGTCCGGCTGGTGCGGCGCCAGCTCCCCTGGGGCTTCGTTTCCGTCCGTCCCACTACGTGATGGCCGCAAGGGTTCATATCGGTTGGCTTCACGGACGTGCCCCATCCCTGCCAGTGGCCCGTTTCGCCCAAGGCGTCACGGCCCCTCTGGCAGGCACTTGCGGGCGCTGGCCTCTGCATGGCCACCCGCCGCTCCACCTCGGGTTTCCTGATGGGCGGCGCTCACTTGCACGGTCTTCTCGTGCCGGTCATCTTCAGTCTCCAGGTTCGCGCGCGCGGGGCGCGCGGCGCTGGTCGGGGTGGACGTCCTGAAGTCCTTCCTGCACGACGAGGTTGTCCCTGCCTCCTGCCCTCGGGCATGCGCTGGTCGCGGCTAAATGGATTACCTGCCGACGCTTGTCAAGGGGCGGCCCGCGGTCCTACATGTTCAACCGTTTCGCTCCTGTCGATCTGGGGTTCGTCGACCGCGTCTTCTCCGACTGGCCCGGGGCGCCTATGGTGCGGCACCGCTGCCCGCGCACCTGGCCGCCGAGGGGCCTTCTCCCGTGTCATTTTGGCTGCGTTCCCTGGGCTCGCGCATGGTGGTATTCTTCCCGTGCGGCAAGGAGCGCCACCTCTCTCTCCGCGTCTTGGCTCTGTCGCGCCATTTTGGCTGCGTCCATCACTCGCCTTGTGCTCTAGGGGCGCTTCAAGTTCTTCCTGTTCGGCAAGGGTGGTTCCGCCCTTGGTTTTCGTCTTCTTCCTAGTTGCCGGTTTCCGCTTGGTTCCGCCCCTGTTTTCGGCGCGATCTTCCGTAGTTGCTCGCGCGCCAGGTGGACTTTTGTGCTTCCCTTCCGCCTGCCGCCGCTCGCCTCGCTGTTTATTTTTTACTACGGAGCGCGGCCCGCCCCGGCGCGCACGGCGTTCGACTCGTCGTCGCGCGCCCGCGGCCCCCCCCCCCAAAAAAAAAAAGAAGTCGGAGGTGATGGGGTGAGATCGAAGTGGAACGGAGAGCCTCCCACCGGGAAATCGGTTTCGGTTTCGCGTGCGTCTCGTGCGCTCGGGCGAGGCGAAGCTGCGTGGGCGGGCGAGAGGAATTCATTCTGCTGTCGCTAGGGGTCCGCCAACGCAAATGTTCCCCCCCCCCCCGCCTTGTCAAGCGGTGGCGCGCGTTGTCCCGTCGGTGGCTCGCCGTTGTCCCGTCGGTGTCCGGTCGGTGTCCCGTCGGTGTCCTGTCGTGAAACCGATAGTAAAATCGACTGTGAGACCGATCGTGAGATCGAGATTGATTGTGAGATCGATAGTGAGATATTTTGTGAGATCCATAGATCCATAGTCTGATAGTGGGGTCGATAGTGAGATCGATGGTGAGATCGATAGTGATATCGATTGTGATACCGAATGTGAGACCGAATGTTTGATCGATAGTGAGATCGATAGTGATACCGATAGTGAGATCGATAGTGAGATCGATAGTGAGACTGGTTATGAGATCGATTGAAAGATCGATCGTGAGAACGATTGTGAGATCGATTGTGAGATTGATTGTGATATCGGTTGTCAGTTCCATAGTGAGACCGAATGTGAGATCAATGGTGCGATCGATAGTCAGATCGATAGTGAGATCGATTGTGGGGTCGAAGGTAAGATCGATTGTGAGATCGATAGTGAGATCGATATTGAGATCGATAGTGCGGTCGATAGTGGGATCGTTTATGAGACCGAATGTGGGATCGATGGGGAGATCGATAGTGATATCGATAGTGAGACCGAATGTGAGACCGAGTGTGCGATCGATTGTGAGATCGATAGTGAAACGGAATGGGCGATCGATAGTGATATCGATAGTGAGATCGACTGAATCAGATCGATGATGAGATTGGTTGTGAGACCGATTGTGACATCGATAGTGAGATCGATAGTGAGATCGAACGAGTGATATCGATAGTGAGATCGATAAAGGGGGTCGATCGCGAGATGTATTGAGTGACGCGTTGGTTCCTCCTCCCTCCTCACCTCCTTATCACCCGAAGGGTGGTCGTATAGGTATCCCCACCGGCCCATTCAGACAGTTTGCCAGGCGAGCTGAAGTGTTGTTGTGAGAGGTTCTCGGGGGTCTCTGGGAGCCATCTTGAGGCTCTCTTGGGGTCCTCTTGGGGCCTTTTTGCCGCCCTCTTGGAGCCCTTATGGGGCCATATTGAGGCCCTCTTGGGGCCGTTCGGGCGGGTCTGAGAGGTTTCTTGGGGCCGTTTGGGCCCCCGTAGCTCAAAAGGGGTGGTTGTCCTCTATTCAGCCATCCCCCCCCCCCTCTCCTCGGAGGCTCAAGCATTGCCTCGCAGGGCCTCATTGGGACGCTGTTTGGGTGCTCTCGGGCGCTCTTGGGGCCTTGTTGGGGCCCTCGTAGGTCCCTCTTGGCTTTCTCTTGGGCCGTCTTGGGGCCATCTCGAGGCCTCGGAGGCCCGTCAGAAGCGAAAGGCGAGAACGCAAACATCATTCATGGTCTTAGGGTTTTGGGAGCCATTTTGGCCTCTTGGGGGGGTCCTTGGCGGGCTCGGAGGGCACTTGAAACCATCTTGGGGTCGTCTTGGGGCGCCTTGGATGTATGTGGGAGACTATCTTGAGCCATCTTATCTTGAGCCATCTTGGAGGCCATCTTGGGCGCTCCGAGGCCCGATAGGAACCATCTTGGGCCATCTTGGGCGCTCTAGCGCCTCGCGCCTAGGCCCAGGAGAGGGGGTGGAGGGAGGGGTCAAGCTACCCGCCCGCCCGCAAACAGTCCAGCTCACTCCCACCTGCCCTCCCTACACAGAAGTCACACCCGAGCCTCAGCATGTTCAGCGTTCGTATTTGGATGGGCAGCTACTGGGAACCAGAACCGACCCCATGTGTGCGACGCTGGGGCGAGGTGCGCCACGCGGGGCAGGCGCGCCACGCGCGCCAGGCACCCCTGGGGCCCGAGCGTGCCAGGCACGCCTGGTGCGCCAGATGCGCCACGTGCTCCGAGTGCGCCAGGTGTGCCGCGCACTCCAGCAGCGCCAGGTGCGCCGCGCTCGGGGCATGTGCAGAGTGCGTCAGGTGCGCCTGCGCACGTGACAGCACACATCGGGCAAACATGCCGGCCCCCGCCATCTTTTTCGAAAGCCGATGCCCATCATTGTGCCACCACCCACGCCGTCCCTGTCGAAAACCACTTGACAGTGATCGTGGGGTGGCCGCGCATGATCCACATGTAGCCGCGAGGTGCATTTGACATTTTTTTCGTAAGGGATGGTAGCCCTGCGCACAGCAGGCAATATGCTGACACCCCGCCGTCCTGTCAAAAACAATACACAGTCCTCGCGGGCGTCACGAGCATGACTCAAGCGCCCCAAACTATATTTTGTATTGTTTTTTTTGGCAGGGATGGTGCGGGGGGCCGCATCGGGTTGGCCGCGCATGCTCCAAATGTGGAGGCAGAGTGCGGTTTGTATTGTTCTTGTGGCAGGGATGGTAGGGGACGGGTCGGCATGGTGTCGGCATGGTGCTTGGTTGGCCCCCTGCCGCCTGGGGGTGATCAAGACCCCCTAGATAGCAAACCGTCCCAGCACTTAAGTCACACCCGAGCCTCAGCATGTTCAGCGTTCGCATTTGGATGGGCAGCTACTGGGAACCAAAACCGACCCCATATGTGCGACGCTGGGGCGAGGTGGCCACGCGGGCCAGGCGCGCCACGCGCGCCAGGCACCCCTGAGGCCCGAGCGTGCCAGGCACGCCTGGTGCGCCAGATGCGCCACGTGTTCCGAGTGCGCCAGGTGCGCCGCACAGTCTAGCCGCGCCAGGTGCGGCACGTTCTGGGCATGCGCAGAGTGTGTCAGGCGCGCTTATGCACGTGGCAGCACACATTGGGAAACGTGTCGGGGACCGCCACCTTTTTCGAAAAACGATGCCCATCATTGTGTCTGGTGTGCCTGCGCACAGCAGGCCATACGCCACCAGCCCCGCCGTCCCTGTCGAAAACCACTTGACAGTGATCGCGGGGTGGCCGCGCATGATCCAGATTTAGCCGCGAGGTGCATTTGGTATTGTCTTTCGTGAGGGATGGTAGCCCTGCTCGCAGCAGGCGATATTCTGACATCCCCGCCGTCGCTGTCAAAACAAAACAATTGCATGCGGGCGTCACGAACATGACTCAAGACTTTGCCTCAAAGTGTACTTTGTATGTGTTTGTGCCAGGGATGGGGGGGGGGCGCATCGGGTTCGCCGTGCAAGCTCCAAATGTGGAGGCAAAGTGCGTTTTGTATTGTTTTTCTTGGCAGGGATGGTGGGGGGGGCCCGCATGGTTTCCTCATGGTTCCTGGTTGGCTGCCGGTCGCCTGGGGAGGGGGTGTATATCAATAGGAAACAGTGATACCCCCCCCAGAGCAGGGGAAGAAAGGGTTGCGGAAAGAGAGAAGACAAAACTCGTTAAGCCACCTACGACCAGAGGGCTGGTGGGATTAGCATCGTCGTCATCGCCAGAGTCGTCGTCACCATCATCACCCGTCCGCCCGAATCAATGGAGCGAGAAGTGTTCTCGCGTCATCGTGCCAGTCGAATCAGTAAAGAATTGACGGGTTGGTTGGTGGGATGGTTTCTCCTTCAGTGGAACAGTCAGTCCACTAATGTGTTCAACATTTATTGCACCACATGACTTGTATCGCACGCGTTGCACCACGTATATGGTACCGCGTAGAGTGCAACACAAATATGTTCACTCGCATAGACTGCACCGTATTGGTTGCAAGACATATGTTGAAAAACCCAGGGGTCCTCGCTGGCAAACGTTAATGTTCGACAAGTTGCGGATGAGTTGGAGGCGCACGCGCACGCCGACCACTTCGCGTGCGCTTCTCCTCATCCTTGTCCTCCTCGTCCTCTTTCCTGCTGCGTACTCTGCTCCCGCCCTTTTCCTCGTCCTTCTCCTTTCCTTCCACCTCCTCCCGTGCGTCCGCGCTGCTCCTGGGAGGCCCCGGGGCGATGGTGCCGAGCCCGGCGGTGCCGAGCCGACCTCTGGCGCCCGAGGCGCCGGACAGGCCCCCCCCCGTCAGAGAGCGACTGCCTTTTACGGGGGGGGGAGGCGGCGGAGGCCGCCGCGGAGGTCGAGGCGGAGGATGCGCAGGAGGCGGGGGCCAGGAGGAGTAAACGGGGGCGGAGGCGGTGGCGGGAGGCGGGAGGCGGGAGGCGGGAGGCGGGTGGAGGAGGAGGAGGAGGAGGAGGAGGAGGAGGAGGAGGAGGAGGAGGAGGAGGAGGAGGAGGAGGAGGAGGAGGAGGAGGAGGAGGAGGAGGAGACGGGGGCGGAGGCGGAGGATTGCAGGGTAGTGTGAATGCCCTCGAGGGCAGGCATAACCCTGTGGAGTTGCTCTTGAAGTTTCAATGACAAGCCTTCTGGTCCCAGAGCCTGTGCAGGAGCTGTTGTTGGCACCTGGTGTTGGTGGATGGTATGCGTGGTCAGCATGCCCCGAGACAGCCACTTTTGTTCGACACATTAGGTTTGGCGGGGGTACTTCACGATAGCCTCCATCGCCTCCTACCGTGCAAGTGATGAGTCATGGTGCGTGTTTCACCACCTGATGATGGGCTGGTACCCCCCAGAATGGCGTCTGACGCTGGCCCCCCAACCTTGGGGGGCCCAGGGCAGCTCACAGGGGGCCACAAGGCAGGACCGCTTGCTACCCTAGTTGGGACATGTGTCGTGTCGCCTGCTACACCGCACGGAGGATCACCATGCTGGCGGTGACGGGGGGGGGCGCTCTGCATCAGGGCAGCATGGAGATCTTCTCTGCAGCACAGGCTGGGACGCCACCTTAGGGTTGATACGGAGGGACCTGCGCCATCGCAGGTCGGATCGCCACCCCCGGGGTGGCACGGCAGCCAAGGGTGGACGGGGCGGACCCCCTCCACTGCCGCCGATGTCTCCGCTGCAGGATGGCTGACCGCAGCCCTGGCGGCTTCTGGAGGAAACCAGTCCACAGCTGGGCACTTTTCCATTTGAGGGGTGACAAGGAGGTCCTTCTCCAATGCGGGTTCACCGCCACCGTAGGGGTGACGGGTGGCTGGCTCCCCAACGGGACTGATCGCTGGCCTACGGGTGACCGAGGGACCTGCTCCACAGCAGTGCGGATCATCGCCGCGCTAAGGGTGACGGTCAAGCGGCTCCGCAGCGGGACCGATCGCCGGCCTGCGGGTGACAGAGGAAAGCCTCCTCCACAGCAGCGTGGAGCGCCACCCCCTGGGGCAACAGCTTGGCGCGTGTTCGTCGGTAGAGCGATGACCGTCGTTCGACCGCCGATCAAGCTGCACGTCGATCCAACTGGCTGCGCCCAGAGCGTCTTGGCCCCCCGCGCTCGCAGGCATACGCCAGCGCAGATTGTTATCGAACTGTCCCCCCAGCCGCGGTTGCACCGCCCGGCAGGCGGCTGCACCCCAGCGCTTCAGTTCTAGTTTTAAGTCCCTCTACAGGGGGAATGCTCAAAAAAAGTAAAAAATAGTCTGGGGACGAGTTTGGGGAGTATTTTTTGACCATTTGGGAGCATCTTTGAATATATTTGTTGTGTTTCGTCGAAGAGCCCCCTGCAGGGGGACGCGCCCGACTGAATTCTAGTTCCTGTTGCGCTCAGGGCGCCCTGGCAGCCTCAACCTGGGTCGCCACCCGTATGCCGTCGCCGCTGCTCCGGCCCGGTGGACGTCGCCGCAGCCTTGGCCTGCCTTGGCCTGCCTGCCCTCCGCGGCCTCTCCACATCACCACCCACCAAACCACCCCAACCCAACCCGAAGGCTCAGATTTACCCTCGATTTCCAGTGGGGGGGGGTCGGGGAACATCGAAAAAACACATGTGGAACCCTTACCCCCCCCAACCCGAAATTCGGGTCTTCGGGTTGGGTTGGGGTGGTCTGGTAGGTGGTCACACACGAGCCCTGCTCCTCCCGTGGAGCGGCCGGTGCGGGGCGGAGGCGCACCCGGACGGGGCGGCAAGTCGGGAACGGGAACACGTACATTGTACCAGCCTCGGACGTATCCCTATCCCTAAGATTGGCACGCCAACAGGCGAGGACAATCTTCGGGATTCGCCCTCAAAAAATAAGGGAATCCCTAAGATTGGCATCGTGATGAGTAGATGCCCAGCATAGGGATAGGGATAGTTATGTTCCAGGCTGGTAAACATTACCAGCGGCGGTCTGTTTTTTCAATCCCAAAGCTTTTTGAGGGTCGGGGGCGACGTCGGTGTGGTGTGGTGTAGACTTGTCCCCGTTTTCCAAGGGAGACAACGGAAACTGTGTACACCAGGATCCCGTACACACCAGGATCCGCGTTCCTGTGCGAATTTCGGCGCAGGGTCGGAAAAAGCGTCGTTGTATAGAGTTCGTTTCCCTAGTAAGGAGTGGGGATGGGACGGAAGGCGAATTCGGTAAGATCCGCCATGGCATATTGCCTGCTGCCGCTGTAATGCCAGCCTTCGCCGGCACAGGGTTGCAACCCTCCGTTCTCCAGGATATCCCCCCCACGCCCTCCAAGGGCTGGGCCAAGGGAAGAGACTCAGGCTTCGGCAGGGCCACTAAGGGCGGGCCGCGAGGATCTCTCCACCCGCCTGAGGCGGATGCATTTGAGACGAGGTTCCTGCCTCACCTCCTGCCTCCACGCACGCCGTATTGCCACAGAAAGTTTCTCCTCGAGCTCGTGACCGCTCTCCACAAGAGAAGGGTCGTCCGCATGGCCACCCCGAGTTGCGGCCACGTGCGCCAGGCCTGGACGGCAAGCCTTGATGCCCAATCAAATGGGTGCACGTCCTGCGCCACAGGCAGCGGATGAGAGGAAAGACGGGGGAAAAGGTACGAGTGTGGTGCCAGGGGGGAGCATGTGGGTTAAGAATCCCCACCCCTCCGACACACCGGGTCCGTGACACAGATCCTGCCCTGGAGACGGGGCTTGCGAAGTCCTGTCCTCGAGACGGGAAATGCGCCCGGAATTCTGGCTCGAATCGAGCAACCTTGTTACTGCGGATGGCCCAGTGCACCTAAAGATGGGTCTGGGAATACGGCTCGAATCGAGCACCCCCTTTCTACGGATAGGCCGGTTCACCCAAAAGTGGGGCGCCCAGGATTTTCGGCTCAAATCGCGCCTCCCCCCTATCGGGATAGGCTGGTGCACCCAAAAGCGCCAACAAAGCGTGGCCCTGTTGTACCCCCCCGTCTCCTCAAGATCGAACGCGACGCGTGAGTAATGGGGCCCCCGCCTCACAGGCCGTAGCCAGCCATGCGCAGGTCAGCAGAAAGCATGAAGACTGCGACGATCGGGACATGGTCTTTCTCCGCATCCCTCGCTACAGCGGTCCTGTGGCGTCGCTGTAGGAGTCAACAACATCAAAACTAGGCCCACAACTGTGGTTTCCCACAACCGCCTCCTACTGGCTGCGCAACGGATGGTTCAGAGGAGGGAGGTGAGCTCCGGTTGAAGCAGTGCTGATATCGTTATACTTTGTTTCAAGCACTGGGCTGGGCCTCTCTTGTAGTCGGGGTGCTGGCGGCGGTTGAACCGTTGCCGAGATTGCCTGGTGCCGGGCGTTGTGAACTCCAAGTTGCAATCTTGCTTGAGGCCCCGGAGGTTTCCTGATTCCGAGTAGGCCCCGCACTCACTGCAGATGGCGGAGGCGGAGGAGGAGGAGAAGGAGGAGGAGGAGGAGGAGCAGGAGGAGGAGGAGGTGGGGGCAGAGTTGGCGTAGGACCATCACAGTTTATGAGGGAAGGCTAAGGTTAGGCCGACCCGACCCTGAATCAAAACCTGAGGGTTCCATCCGATCTTCACTTGCGCTCTTTTCGGCCTGCATCTCGGCCCGCTGCTTGAGGAGCTGGACAGAGAGGTTGGCTGGGAAAGTCGGGGGGGGGGCCTTCCAACTGCTTTGGGGTGTCGGCCGCCCAAATGAAGCGCCCGCACATTCTGGGACAACTTACTTTGGAATCTTTCCTTTCATTCACCTCTGAGTTTAAGTCGGGCCTGTCCCTCTACAGGGGGAATTTTCAAAAATAGTCAAAGCATAGTCGGGGGGCTATTTTTTAAAAGTATGTTTGGCAATGCTGGATCACTTTTAGAGTGTTTTATTTTTCGTCGACAATCCCCCTGTAGGGGGACACGCCCGACTTAACTCTGAGTCCCTTCAGATTGCTCAGAGTAGTGGCGGCACCTCTTGCGCACTACACTGAAGGACTCAACATTAAGGTCATCGCACGTAAATAGTGTATGCTTCTGCGGCGCTCTAATTACAGAAGGAAGGGCAACACACTTGCCAGTGCATGCTTCGAGCATGCATGACTTACGGTTGCTGTCAGTTCTAGCCCGAGCGTGGCAGGCATGGCACAACCAGTGCATACTGTTAGCCACGCCCATTGGTGCCTGGCTGCGCTCTGTGGGTTACGGCACGCACGAGCGCGCCGAGGCTGACCAACGGGTTGGGGCGGTGGCTCTACCCAGGCGTGGACCGCTCCATCTGCCCCGACATGGGGGCTTGAGGCCCTTAGAGGGCTTCTCGAGGGCCTTCTTGCCCATGCGTGGGGCTACGGGAAGACCAGAGTGTGAGTGCCCCTGCAGCAAATCTCACCAGTCTCCTGACTCGGCCGCTTACTTCGCTGTACAACTCAATAAATTGCTGGGAAGGGCCTGGGGTGCGGGCCGCAGCTTGCTGGGCGACCTTACCAGCCCAGCCGTCACCTTTAGCAACAAACCAGAGTCAGCCTCTAGGACCTCTAGGTCCTGGTGGGCCTTCACTTTCTGGATTTCGAGTGGCCGAAAACTGTCCTGCGCCCTGGCCACAACAGAAGCACCAGCGTACAGCTCTTTCCTGCTTACCTCCGGGCCCTGGTGGGCCGAGAGGGTACCTTTGAAACTCGTCCACGCTTTGGTGACCCGAGGGCGCGACGCGGCAGCTAGATACCCGGGTGTTCGGCAGCGGGCGACGCGGGGGGCAGGTGGGCCCCTGCAGGGCCAGAGAGGCTGGCAACGAGGTCGCGGGCCTCGTCGGTTTTGACCACGGGCCAGGCCGGAGCCTCGCAAACCGCGGGCCCAGGTTTTCAAACGCTGCCGTCGTGAAACATTTTATCTTCCATGGTAATCTCCTTGGGTTGGCCATCCCTAGACCAGTAGGCCGCGCAATCTAATCCGAATCCACCGGGCTTCAGAGCAACCTGTTCGGGGCGAATGTGAAGCCCAAGAACATATGCCCCCTCCCTTCCTCGGACCAGTAGGCTCCTGAACACCGTCGTTTTTGAAGTTTCGTCCTCCGCGTATTGGTACCAGGGCCCTCGAGGAGCCTGTTGGGGATCGACTCGACAGGGGCCCTTACACACATCACATTTCACCTCGCCTGCAAAACCTGTTAAGGTCATCGTTTCCCCAGTCCAAGTACACTGGCAGTGTCCTCAGAACTACATGCACACACATGGACACAAATCACGCCCAACACATCACACGCTAGACAAACTTAACACACACACACATCACCTACAGCGCACAAAAAACACGCACAACACAGAGCACACATCACACACACACACACACCCGCACAACACTCACAATCCTGGGGCCTCCTGGAGCCTCTTCTGGTATCCAAATCGGGCCTCCTGAGGCTTCCTGGGGGGCCCTGGTACACAATCGCAAGTTGTGGCAACCCCACTTGCGCTCGAGTGCGACTTCGCTGTTGCATTTCACTCCTGCTTCAAACGCCCGTTCAGTTTTTTGTATGAGCCTGGGCACACACGTGTCACTTGTACATATATACACATATATATACACATGTATGTACGTGAATACGTGTATATATATGAATACATATATAGATATACCGAGAGAGAGAGCGAGAGAGAGAGATAAACATATTTACACATAGAGAGTGAGAGAGGAAGAGAGAGAGAGAGAGAAACAGATATGTAGAGAAACGAGAATATATATATATATATATATATATAGAGAGAGAGAGAGAGAGAGAGAAACAAGAGAGAGAGAGAGAGAGATAGAGACACATTAATGATAAAGGACAGACCGAGCGTCGTGGCTCAGGCTGTGATTTCAACTGTACCACTGTTCGATGATCAGCAGGGCCCCGGGGTTCAGCGCATCAGGCCTGGCGCCGCGGCCGCGGCCGCGCTGGCTGCCCCAGGCGCTGGCGTGTGGGCGCACCGCCCCTGCCCAGGTGCTGCGGCGGGCTCTCAGGCGGCCCGCACCCGAGAGGGAAAGAGAGAGAGAGAGAGAGAGATAGAGAGGAGTCGGAGTGGAGAAGATTGAATGGGGCGGCACGGAGCGTGAAAGGAGGGAAGCGGATGGGGGATGACGGAATGGAGTTGAGCGGATGGTCGGGGAGGTGAGGGGAGCAGGCGAAGGCAACGGGAGACGACGGCTGGGGAGTAGGCGGGAGCGGAGGCATATTCGGAGGTGCAGGCGCAAACGGAAGCGGAACGAAGTGGCGAGTGGCACGGAGCGGAAGGGTGGGAGGGAGGGCAGTGGGGAGGACGGCGGGCGCAGGGACCCTCTCTGGCTCCACCGGGCCCGGCCACGCCGCCAGGCTGTCCCGGCGGCCTGGCGAGGGGCGGCTGCCGGCTGGTCGCCCGTGGCTCCGCTGCTCCCGCCCTCCCCCGCTGCCACCGCGGCACGGGAGGAAGCCCACGGGTCGAGGGCGTGCAGGGGGGAGCAGGGGCTGAGCAGACGGGAGGGGATGGGGAGGCAGGGGAGGGGGGGACGCAAGCGGCGGAGGTGAGGGGTGGGACGAGTGAGGGGGAATGGCGGGAGCGGGTAGAAGTGGCGCAGTAGCGGGGTAAAGGGCGCCGCGAGCGAGTACACATGGCATGGATGTTACAGTCAGTATTTGTTCATCCATTCCGCGGATTCTCATCTGTGTTCGGATTAGCGATACTTCCATTCAGGGGCAAGGAGAGGGCTGACGCGAGGGGGGAGGTGAAAGTGATGTTCGGGAAAAGGCGAGGGGTCTGGAGGGAAGTAAGGGAATGGCAGTGAAAGGCTTCGCGACGGGGTGGGGCTGGACGGTGAGTGGCGAATTAGACGGGAACGGACTGGATAGGTTGGAACATGTTGCGATGTTGCCGCGGGGACTGTGGCGACTGTGTCGTGCACGGCTCGCCAATCTATTGGCTTACGTTCCGCCAAAAGCGTCGGATATTCGTAGCCTGGTGCTGCTGAGAGTACTGCGCAGGACTGCTTGTCTGTGGCAGCGAGCGGCAGACTGTTCGAGACAGCAAGCAGGCTCCTCCTCGCCTTCGTCATCGCCCTTGTCGTCGCTCTCCCCATCTCCCCCCCCTTTCCCCCAGCCCCTGACCCCACCCTCCCATTTCTCCTCTCCCTTTTCCCTCTCCCTCTCCTCATCCCCTTCCCCTCCTCACGAGCGCGTGCTGGCCCCGGCGGCTGCGGTGGTGGCCCCCGTGCCTTGCAGCGCTGGGCTTGCGGCGCTGCCCGCCTCGCCAGCGCAAAGGCGGCAGACACAGGCGGGAAATCAGAACGAATTCCCCCAGGAGTACCGACATCGAGGAGGTGGGGTGATGAAGATCATGGGGGAGGAGGCGGAGGAGGAGGAGGAGGCTGAGGACGAGGAGGAGGAAGAGGAGGAGGAGGAGGAGGAGGAGGAGGAGGAGGAGGAGGAGGAGGAGGAGGAGGAAGAGGAGGAGGAGGAGGAGGAGGAGGAGGAGGAGAGAGGTGAAGGAGGGAGGGGGTGATGCTGAGGTGGAATACGGAGGATGATGAGGAGGAAGAGGAACCCTGTTATGATGGTGAGGAGTTGGGAATGAACACATATCATGCTGGTTAAGTATTGTAAACTGATGATGATGAGGATGATGTAGTTGCTGCAGATGCTGCTGCTGATGCTGGTGCTGATGATGTTGATGAAACTGCTGCGGATGATGATGGCGACGACGATGATGATGCTGAGTATGCTTATTAGGATGATGATGATGATGATGATGATGATGATGATGATGATGATGATGATGATGATGATGATGATGCTGTTGCTGCTGATGATGATGATCATGCTGATGCTGATGCTGATGATGCTGATGCTGATGCTGATGATGACGATGGCTATGGTGGTGATGGCGACGACGATGTTGGCTGTGATGATGACGACACTGATGCTGATGCTGCTGATGATAATGACGACGACGTTGATGATGATGATGATGATGATGATGATGCTGATGATGATGATGATGGTGGTGATGATGATGATGAAGATGATGATGATTATTATGCTGATGCTGATGCCAGGACTGATGGTGCTGATGATGCTGCCGATGTTGATGGTAATGGTGGTGATGGTGATGATGATAATGCTGGTCTTGTTGTTGATGATGATGACGGTTTTGATGATGCTGCTGCTGCTGGTGCTGTTGCTGCTGCTGCTGCTGATGATGATGATGATGGTTATGATGAAGAAGAAGATGATGATGATGATGATGATGATGATGATGATGATGATGATGATGCTGATGATGCTGATGATGATGATGATGATGATGATGATGATGATGGGGATGATGCTGATTGTGATGTCGGCGACGAAGGTAACGACGACGATGGTGATGCTGGTGGTGATGATGACGATGACGACGGCGATTATGACGACGAGTTCGAGGAATAGTAAGGCAAGGGGGGTGGGAGACACCCGCCATGTGCAAACACAGATTCCCCTTGCGCAGAGACGGGCGGGTGCCCGAGTGGCGTCATGTTTCTGTGCCTTCGTTGGCCCCTCGTCCTGCTTCCCTTCCACCAGGGCCTCTGGTCTACGCTTGGTTTTCACCTCTTCCAGGTCGACCCCGTGCTTAGACGCACACGCCTGTACTGGCTGGCGGTGCGCCGTAGCCTTCGTCCTCTCGCTCCTCGCTTTGCTGCTGCTGCTGCTTCCCGTGCTGCGCTCGCCCGTCGACTGACCTTTTTCCAGCCGCTATTCTACATCGCTCCTCCCAGCCGGACGCATACGCATCGCCTCGGACCATTTCGGAAAACATGGTGCGCGTGCAAATCGGAGCAGCTCTTGATGTTGGGAGGGAGGGTCAGCGGGCGGATTTAGCACGGCGAGTTCTGGGTGAATCTAGTAACGAGGGCCAAGCAGGTATTCGGAAGGGCGCGCTCGTGCTTATTTGCTGCTGTCGGGCATTGCGTAGTATGGGGACTGGCGTAACCAAGCCGCGATTGGTCGCGGCCGACCAACTGACCGCAACAGTAAGTTCGGACCTGATTCGGCCCGCCAGCAATCGTCGCACACGCTCGTCAACTAAGGGTCTCCTTCCCAAGGGTCAACATGATTTCGAACGCACGCTGCGAACACCTCAGTTTCGGGTGCAATTGCCATCCGTTACAATATCTTCGCCGCCGAATTGACTGCCAGAAGGGTGGGCACCGTATGTGGTCAAGTTCGCCTCGCGCCTGGGCCTCACGCCACGGAGCTGTTCTCCACGGATCTCTGTGGTCAGTAGAAGACAAGGGGCGCACCCTGGTTCCTAGGGGTACGATGCGCCTTATTCGCGAGAAGGCTCTGGAAGGGTATGGGAGTCAAGGGTCTTTCCTTATGATCGCTTGTGTAGTCATTTTGTGGTGGCCCGTCTCGGCTGCTCACTGGCTGGCATCGGCAAAACTGTCCATCCACACAAGACCTATGTGAAGTCTCTGGCTGTACATTTCCCCCGAGAGAACGTGTCCTTTCAATATTTGTGCAGTTCCTATCTCGACAATTGCAATCGGCTCCTCGTGGTTGCCTCAATGTGCTTACTTGGCCGCACCTCGGACCTGACCAATGCTCTGATCGCACAAGATCGTCCATCTGTGTAGGATTCGTCTGGTATGACGTCACAGTTTGCGCATGTCCAGATATGCGTACACCCTCACAGCATGTGACAGCAGAGACAGTGGGTTGTCAGCGGTGAAGGCTTCAGTCGGAGATACAGTCGGAGTCGTCAGCGTATATTCTGGAACGCCATTTTCGGGAAGTAAGCTGAGGGTATGGCATGGGCTTGGATCACTCAGGGTAGCAATCTGACGCTGGCCGTTGCCATGACTCGGCCTTGGAATAACGACTGCATATTGGATAACACGCCAGAACTCTTTATTAGACGTCCGACTCAGAGATGTAGCCATCATCGTCACAAAGGCCTTTATGACACATAACTGGTACTGACGATCACGTTTAGTGCCTGGACAGCAGCCCATGTTTCAAATACGAAGCGGAGGCGTGTTCGACTAAGGGAGCATGCATACTTGACATGCACGCGTGCGAACGTGAGTTTTCCCCTCAGGTATCTTGTGGTGTTGGGTCTGTGTTATATATATAGATATATATATATAGAGAGAGAGAGAGAGAGAGAGAGAGAGAGGGAGGGAGGGAGGGAGAGAGAGAGAGAGAGAGAGAGAGAGAGACAGAGCGCCCCGCGTCTACTTCCCTCCCGCTGCCCCCCTCCCTTCTCGCATCCTGGCCTCTGCCCCTTCGCACGCGCATGTCGGCGCACCCCTCACACGATTCGTGCCCCCATAGGAAGTTCCACCTGAGGCCACACTGGGTATGTCCACACATGTCCGCGCTACCCATTTCGGCACACCTCTCACACGTTTCGTGCCCCCATAGGGAGCTGCAGCCAATGCCACACTGGGTGTGTCCACTTACGTCCGCGCCACCCGTGTCAGCACGCCCCTCGCACGTTTCGTGCCTTTTTTAGGAAGCCTCACCCAAGGTCACAGTGGCTGTGTCCACATGCGTCCGCGCCACCCATGTCGGCAAACCCCTCACACATTCCGTGCCCCCAGGTGGAGCTCCAGCTAATGCCACAGTGGGTGTGTCTACACGCGCCCGCGCCACCCATTTCGGCACACCCTCCCAAGTTTTGTGCCCCCAGGAGGAGCTCCGGCTAATGCCACACTGGGTGTGTTCACATGCGTCCGCGCCACCCATGGCGCCACACCTCTTACACGCTTCGTGCCCCTAGGAGGAGCTCCAGCTAATGCCACACTGGGTGTGTCCACATGCGTCCGCGCCACCCATGTCGGCACACCACTCGCAGGTTTCGTGCCCCCATGTGGAGCTCCACCTGAGGCCACAATGGGTATGTCCACATGCGTCTGCGCCACCCATGTCGGCGCACCACACGTTTCGTGCTCCCGTGGGGAGCTCCAGCTACTGCCACATTGGGTGTCCACTTACGTCCGCGCCTTCCGAATCTGCACGCCCCTCACGCGCTTCGTGCCCTTATAGGAAGCCCCATCCAAGGCCACAGTGGGTGTGTCCATATGCGTCCGCGCCACCCATGTCGGTGCACCACTCGTAGGTTCCGTGCCCCATAGGGAGCCCCACCCATGGTCACATTAGGTGTGTCCACACGCGTGCGCGCCATCCATGCCGGCACACCTCTCACGCTTCTCGTGCCCCCATGGGGAGCTTCACCACGGGCCAGAGTGGGTGTGTCCACATACGTCCGCGCTGCCCATGTCGGCACACCCCTTCCACGTTTCGTGACCCCGTGGGGACTCACACGTTTCGTGGCCCGGTAGGAGGCTCCACCGAAGACGATATTCACAACTGCGTTACTCACAGCTGCACATGGTTGGGCTCTTCGCCAGGATCTACTGTTGTTTTTCCCCCCACCGTCATATTCTGTCACCCCAATTCTGATCTCAACCGCTATTGGTGCTGCTGCTGCTGCTCCTTTTCCTCCTCGTTCTCGTCAGTACCCTCGTCCTTCTTTGTCCTCTTCTTCTCAACTGTCTTCGGGGCCAGCATTTCTGGCACATCTTCAGGAGGAGAAGGGGGGGCACGTTGTCCGAGTCAGCCGTCAGGCGCACCGCGGTAGTCGCTAACCGAAAGTATAGCTGGCTCTCTGGAAGCCATGAGATGCATGGGCAAGCTCGAGGTCGGGGCTTAAGCAGGACCCGAGACAGTTCGTCTCTATAGTCAGTGTCCAGGGTAGATGCCAGTCTTGGTTGACGCTGCTTGAGACGGGGACGCGTTGCGTTTGGCTGCTCGTGTGACCTTCGGCGTCTGGCGCCCTCCAATCGCCATGGCTGGGCTCGACTTGAACACCCCTCGACTGGCCGACAGGTCTTGTGACGTCGGGGGTCCAGAGGGCTCCCAGCCTCAAACATACTCTCGCTTCGCGCTCCCGGGGGATCGGCGAGGGGCTTGGGGCCTGGGGTGAGCGTCCAGAGGACATTTCTGAAAGTCGCTCGCTGGTTCGGTCGGGACGCCGAAGCAACAACACCTGAGTCTATCTGTGCCGACTCGCCCGCCCCTGGCCAGGGGTCTGACGCGACCACGGTGGCGACCTTGCCGGCAACGCCGCCCTCGGAGCACCGCCCAGCGCAGACGCCCGGCCTGGCTACAGCGTTCGTCCAGTGTGCACCTCTCACCGGGAGGGGGGGGGGAAAGAGGGAAAGGATAGGGGGGAGCGAATGCGCGAGAGGGGCAGGATAAGAAGGAGGAGCACGGGGAACGAGGAGGCGGAGGAGGGAGGAGGGGGAGGATGGGGGGGACTGGGAGGAAGAGAGCTGTAAGACGATGCCCTTCCCTTCGGTGTGGAAGGTCCCTTCAGGTGGCTCGGATTTACAGGAGCAGCCACCTGATCCGCAGGAGCGGGCGGTCCCTCTGAAATGGAAGTACAGTCATAGCAGCAGTGGCTGAAGCAGCCAGTGTATGAAGGGAAGAACAGGATGAGGCGGAGGAGGAGGAGGAGGATGGGATGAGGAGGGGGAGGATGACGAAGATTAAGATGAAGATGAAGATGAAGGTAATGATGATGCTGATGTTGCTAATGATGTTGACGATGATGCTGATGATGCTGCTGCTGATGATGCTGATGATGATGCTGATGATGCCGACCATGATACCGATGCTGCTGCTGCTGATGCTTATGATGACGATCATGGCGATCATGGTGATGTGTCTGATGATGATGCTGATGATGCTGATGATGACGATCATCATGGTGATGACGGTGATGATGCTGATGACGATGATGCTGATTATGATGATGCTGCTGATGATGTTTATGATGACGATGGTGATGCTGTTGATGATGCTGATGATGACGATGGTGATTATGTGAATGATGATGATCATAATGACGATGAAAGTGATGATGCTGCTGATGATGATGCTGCCGATGACCATGCAGACGACGATGATGACGCTTATGCCGATGCCGATGACGACGATGGTAATGATGATAAGCAGATGACGATGGCGATGGTAATGATGATGTGCTGATGGCGATGATGCTAACGACGATGATGCTGCTGATGGTGGTGATGATGATGACGCTGATGATGATGCTGATGCTGATGATGATGATGCGGAGGATGATGATCGTGCTAATGATGCTGCTGATGATGATGTTTATGCTGATGATGATACTTATGATGCTGATGCTGATGATGATAATGATGATGCTGCTGCTGATGATGATGATACTGATGCCGATACTGATGATACTGATGGTGCTGGTGTTGATGCGGCTGCTGATACTGAGGATGATGCTGGCGATGAGTGTGTTCATTGTGATGTTGTTGCTGTTGCTGTTGATAATGATGCTGCTGATGATGAGGAGGAGGAGGAGGGAGGGCGCATTGGAGGGTGGAACATGAGGGAGCGAGAGGATGGGAAGAGGGAGGCAGTGTCTGTTGATCTTGCGACGGCGCGGTCAGAGTATTTCAGGCGATCTAGCCCCACGGGTAGGAATGCTCCCTTTTGCCGCCCTTCCCCATCCTAAGTTGGCGTCCACCTCCGCCTACTCGAACTATCTACACCCGCGTCGAGTGTCAAGCACCATGCCGCCCAAGGTGCTACATGGCGCAAGGCAACGTTCACAGGTTGGTGCGGTGAGCACTCGGTGACCCCAATTGGGAAGTTCGATTTAGGTTTCTTGTCGTGTCGTGCCTGACGAGGGTGATTCCCATGGGAATTTACTTAGACTCGAAGTGTTATGGTGCAGACCCCAGGTCCAGCGGATTCCAATACTACCCCTCTCGAAATGCTATTATATTCTAAGCAGACTAGAACAGGTCTCAGATCCAGCTTTTTCCAAGTAAATTCCTGTTTGAGATTGGCTTAGGATCTGATGGGGGTGGAGCGGATGTCAGATCCAGGCGACTTCAAGATCTTCTCGAGAGCGCCGTATAATCTAATTAGAACCGTGCAGGTCCCAGATTCAACTGGTTCCAATTCGATTCCGATCGGAAGGGGCAGGTCCCATATCCAGCTGATTCCAATGTAATTCCTATATGGGATCTGGTTAGAATCTATTTTGAATTCAGCATGTCCCAGGCCCAGCTGATTCCAGTAGTATTCTGATTCGAATCACATTGGAATTAAGAAGATCCCAGATCCAGCTGGTCCTGATGCGATTCCTGGTAGCATGTAATTCGATTTTCATTGGAACTGGGCACGTCCCAGATCCAGCTGAGTCCCATTGGGATTGCTATTGGAATCGACTTCGCCACTAATTCGAATTGATCAGATCACAGGTCCAGCTGGTTCCAAATATATTGATGTTGAAATCCAAGTCGAACCAAATTTGAAGTGCGCAGGTCACGGATCCAGCTGATTCCGCTTTGATTCCTATTGGAATCGAGTTAGAATCTAACTGGAACGGACCAGGTCCCAGATACATCTGTTTCCAATTGTATTCCTGGTGCATTCGAACTAACATCTAAGTCGAATTGCGCAGATCCCAGATCCAGCTGATTCCAATTGGATCCCGATTGGAATTCAATTAATATCTAGCTGGAATTGAGCAGATCCCAGATCCAGCTGATTCCGATTTGATTCCGATTGCGATTGAGTTAGAAAGTAATTGGGGTGGAGCGGATCCCAGATCCAGCTGATTCCAATTTGGTTCCTGTTGATATCGAAGTATAATCTAACTAGAACTGCGCATACCCCAGATCCGGCTGATTCCAGTTATCTTCCAGCACGAGAAAATAGCGGAACAATGACGAACATGAGAGATGGGTGAGCAGGCACGGATGATAAGAAGGCTGAAGATCAGTAAGAGCACGAATGAAGATCTCAAAGACCGATGCACCATGAGTGGGTGATGGGGGGGCGGGGGGGGCTGCGCATCAACGCTGCTCTTTTTTGAAGCCCGAAGAATCGCCTCTTGGAGCCTTGGTGGGGCGCTTTGGTGTGCTCTTGGAGGCTCAGAGGATTCGCTTCGGGGCCTTCCCGGTGCTTCTTGGAAGTATTTTCGGCCATCATGGGGCCATCCTGACGCTTCGAAAGCCAGTATGAAGCCGAACAGGCGAGAAGAAGCACTCTTGGGGCCTCCGTCGAAGCCTTGGAGAGTCCAGGTGGGCCAGAAGCCGCGTTGACCCTTGCATTCTGCATGTAGCACCTATTCCGACGCGGCTGGGAACGCGGGGCAAAAGGCAACGTAAACGGCCCCTGGCCCCCCTTTCGCACCGCCTCGAGCGCCCCGCGGCTGTGCACGTTTGATTTCTCTGGTTTCTGTACCCTCCCACTCAAGCTCCGCGTGTCTTCTCGCGAGTTATTAAGTCAAGCCCCGACTGTAGCCGTGATCGCAGCACCCGCCGATCGCGTGATCGGTCCAGCTTGATTGGGTGATCGGGTGGTCGGGACTCGATTGAGGATGCTACGGGTAAGATATCGCAGGTGCCTCACCGCTCCCGCCCCCGGTGCAGCTACGCACTACGCAGATCTCTGCAGCGACCGCCCCGCCCACGCCCCCGGTGCAGCTACGCACTGCGCAGATCTCTGCAGCGACCGCCCCGCCCACGCCGACGGTGCAGCTGCGCACTGCGCAGAGCTCTGCAGCGACCGCCCCGCCCACGCCCCCGGTGCAGCTACGCACTGCGCAGATCTCTGCAGCGACCGCCTCTGCCGCGCCGTCGTCAACAGCCGTGTTGAGAGCCTTGCCAGCCCAATGCGGCACGACAGCAGCGCCCCCCGTGGCGAATGTGGCGACTTCTGCAGCGCTGGCCGTCGTGCAGGCCACTCCTGCGGCGCAGCGGCAGTTGCAGCAGCTGCAGCGGTCGTCGCTTGCGCTGCCCAGACAGCCACCATTGCCGCACCCGCTGGTGGAAGAGCAGCCCCCCGCAGCGCAGACAGCAGAAGGTGCTGCCGACGGGACAGGGCCGCCCTCGCCGCCAGCCTTGCCCGGGGCGGCATTTTCGGAACTGGTCGACCCGAAAGCCACCCCTGCTGGGCCGTTCTCGCCGCCTGCGCACCCTGGCGCAGTCCGGGCGGAGCCGACCGCGCTTGCAGCTGTGCCTGCTGGGCCGCCCTCGCCGCCTGCGCAGACTCGTGCAGTCTGGGGAGAGCCGACCGCGGTGGCAGCTGTACGGGCCGGGCTGCCCCCGCCAGGAGGGAGGGGAAGGATCATGGCCTCTGATTGCGGACCGCCGCCAATTGAGTCGAGAGGCCCGCATGGGAATCCTGAGCTCCGAATGTGGAGCCAGGGGTTCGCATCCGGACCTAAGTCTGAAAGCGAGTGATAAGTTCAGCACCCTCCGCTAACTGCCCCTACGACCTCCTCTTACTAACTCTTCCCATTTTTGGCTCTCTCTACTGACTCCTCTTGCAAGCTCACTCTGCTAACTCACCCTGCTGACGCCTGAAGCTATCCCGACCTGCATGCGTGGATCCCAAGTAGTTGGTAGATGGTGCGTGGCACAAGCGAGGTGAACCTTAAGTAATGCAACAAGATGAGATGGATCCTATGTTGCGCAATGTGCGGGTGCAGTCACATGGTGTGCAGCATCTGAGGTGCAACCTACGGGGGTGCAGCCCTTGGGGCGCAATCCATGCAGTGCAGTTGTCGAGTGTATCTTATTTGGTGCATCCAATGGAGTTCACCATACAGAGGTGAAACCTATGGGGTGCAAACTGCGGGCGGGACCCTGTGACTGGAAGCCCAGAGGTGGAATCCCATGACTGGGAACCCGTATGCGGAACCAACCTCATGGGTGGGACCACCTGGGTGAGACCCCGTGAGCAGGACTTTTTGGGTCAGACCCAATGGATGGGACCTACGGGAGCGACCCTGTTGGAGGGACCCTCTGGCGCCCACCGCCGCGGCCACCAGGGCGCCTACGGCTAGAAGTGGGCGGCAGTGGGAGCCATTAGGTGTTCATTGCTTTGCGAATGCAGCTGCTCCTGTTTCCCCCCCCCATTTCTCCTATAGTTCGCCGCCTCCTGGAAGGCCTCTTGGGGGCTCCTTCCTTGGGGCCTCTGGTGGTCTCTCTTGGGCGCCTCATGGGGCCTGTTGGGGACCTCCTGGGGCGAACAACTCGAAGTATCGGTTCGTGTTCCCTCTCTGGGGTTCCTCTTGGGGTCTTTTTGGGGCCCTCCAGGGCGGTCTTGGGGGCCTCCTGGGCTGTCTTGGGCCTTCATGGGCGATGTAGGGGTCAGGGGCCTTTTGGGCCATCTTGGGGCGATCTTCGGGGCTGTGGCCTCTTGGGCCGCCTCGGAGCGTCGGAAGTTAGAACACCTACCGCGGGAACACAACATTCTTCTCTGGGGGCCCTCGTGGGGCTCCTCTTGGAGCTCTGTTGGGGCGTCTTGGCAGCCTCTTGGGCCATCTTGGCGAGTCTTGGAGCCGTCAGGGGCCCGTCTTGGGGACTGCTGGGCCCGTCTGGAGCGGTCTTGCAGCCATCTTGAGCCATTTTGGGGCCGCCAATAAGCCTGCCAGATACTTGGGGTGCACAAGGGGGTCTCGCCGCAAGCTTTCCAGTTTGCCCATCTTGTCTAAAGCTTTCCAATCGTCTTTACTTTGTCAGGTTCTTAGACTTTCCAAACGAGGTTGAAGGAGAGACTGCACGCTATATCCGACGCTGCCTTGGCTCAAGGCAGCGCTGTCCTATTTGCTAGTTGCACGCCCGCGTGCGACTCTACATGGGTCATAGCATCGGACAAAGGCCACGTCTATCTACGATCCGCTCTTCTATCTCATGACTTCTCTCTTACCTCTCGTCTTGCATGCCATCGAGGGATGAGTGGTGGGATGCCTCGATACGTCGCCGACATTATCCTAAGAGTAGGGTTCCCAGCGTATTACCTCATGGTCAAGCCCTGTACCTTGACTTTTCACTTGGTAGCGGAGCTGGCTACATGTTCATGTGGCAGGTTCTTACGCCAGGTGTTCTGTACATAGCAACTTACGACGGCACAGGGGAGTACCCGACTGCGCCGGCCCTCAGCCACTGCACTCCCAATACTCTCGAACCAATTGGTAGCCTACGGTCCTATATTTCCATCTCCCCACCGCGTGGCTTCGCCCCGCACACGCAGCTTCGCCCCGCCCGCCCGCACGACACGAACGCGAAACCGAAACCGATTTCCCGTTTGGAGGCTCTCCGTTCCACTTCGATCTCACCCCCCAACCTCTGATGTTTCCATATCGGCATCTTCGGCTTCAGAAATGGGAGATGTGGACCCGCTTTGGGCACCAGCCATCAGAAGGGCTAGTGATATTTTACTGGTAATCAAATGTGGGCCTAGTGTGCGTAAGTGTGAGTCACACGGTGTTCTGCGCAGGACCGTGCCGCACGCTTCCCCGTGGTGTACCGAACAAGTCCATGCAGTGAGCCGGTTGTAGCATGTATGAGTCAAGCTTGATTCACATGAGATGCACACGCGAGTCATTCGTGAATCAATGGCACTCCAAATGCGAATGTCACAATCGTGATTCGTGGTTCTCCGTTGCTGTTCCGATGATGCCCTGGTCACGATCAGAATGCGAGTCAAACGCGACGCATATGAACCAATTGTGAACCCAATGTAAATCAGTTGTGAACGCGTTTCGAATCGGTGGGATCACTCCTGATTGGATGAGGGCTGCGGCATACTAAATGCGAGCCGAATGGGGACCACATGCAAACCAAATGTTATACAATCGTTGAGGGAGTGCGACCCGATTGCGCGAGTCAATGCGAACCTGGTTTACATTGATTGTACATCGAACTGACTGAGATTCATTTGATTGAGTCAAGCGAAGTGTTAATTGCGCATTGCACGTCAATAAATGTGGCGTCAATGCCAATGACATGCGCTTGACGGGGTGTCGTGACGTCTGAGAGAAATGCATGACAAATGCATACAACCACGTTCGTACGAGACGTGGTCAACATGGAACATTGATGGTAGAAGCGTGAGACCTCTGCGAACCACGGTTTGATCAGGTGAACGTCCATTCCGTGCGAGTTCGACGATCATCAATTGAGAATCGAATATGGATGACATGTACCATGTGATCTTAATGAAGGAACTGCGTCTCAATATTGGCGCATCGTCTTCGCCCAGCCTCTGTATCGACCATTGGGCTGGTCTGCCAGGCATCTTAAGTCGATGTCGTTCGCCGAGGGCAAACCGTCAATGTCTCGGCCACCATTTGCTCCATGGGCGGCCCAAACCACCAACGTATTGGGGCATGTGTACCGCGAAGCGCTCTCGACACCTCAGGCGTCGCCCCCCCGGCGGCGCCCCACTGGGGCGCAAAGAACCTCAGGGGTGGGGCGTTGAAGGGGCTTCTGGCGACACTCGCGCCATCTTTTGGCGGCTGGGGCAACTGTGGTGCCGCTGGTTGCCAATGCTGTGCCGAGCTGGTCGAGGGAGGCGCGTGGGGCCTGCGCCCAGCCGTGCCGTGGCAGCTGGCGCCGGGCCCGCCGCAGTGGCACCTGCCGCCCAGATGTCAGCCGCCGCCGTTTCCGCAGACCGAAGCCGAGCAGCCACCGCGCCACAGCTCCCAGTCGTCCAGGGAGTCACCCGCGCCAGCCGCCGCTGAGTCGCCCTTTGCTCGAGGGTCGAGGCCTGCGGGGCGCACGCGCAAGGCCTGCCGCCGCTCCGGGGCCGGTGGCTTCAGACGGCCCTGCGGAGCGCTCTTTTGAGATTCCTGGGCAACGCATCTATTGTCCGTTCGTCCCGTCCCAGAGGAGGTACACAGGACGGGTTCATCTCTCCTTTCTACGCCGTGCCATCCAAACTGGACAGCGGGGGGGCGTCGGTTTTATTTTCCTCGCTGGATGCCTCCGACTTTGTTGAGAGTGTGTTTTCTCAGCCGAAGTGTCGCATGTGCTCCTCGGGCGTTGTCCTTCCCCACTTTGGGCGGATCCCCGGTGGCTAGCATTTCGTAGTTCCCCAATCGGGCCGTTGGTTTGGCCCACCGCGGCCCCAAGAGATCCCCAGCCCAGCCCACGGTGTTCCAACTACGGCCCAAGAGCAGCCCGAGACCAAGCCAAGACGGCCCCGAGACCCTCCATAGATCCGAGTCCAGCCTGACAGCTTCCCAGCGTGGCCTCAAGATAGTTCCGACGGCCTCTGCAAAGGGACCCAGCAACTTTCTCAGGGACCGACACCATCATGAAGCATTGCTTCATGACGTGCTCGTGCTGGTCGCCAACTTCTGCCAATCATGTCGCCCAGGGAGCCACCGTGCTTTCTGCGCCGCCCCGGACTGCGTGCAGGACCCCGGGACGCCAAAGAGGGCCCCAGGACGGGTCCAAAGCAGCCACACACTTCTTAGTACGACCCAAGAGTTTTGCAATGCAGCCCCAAGTGGGAGAGGAAGGAATGGGGAGGGCAAGGAAAGGGAGAGGTGATACCATGCATACATACATACATACATACAGATATGTAGTAGTGCTCTACCTGTGATTGTCTTCGTCGCGCTGCAGTGCCCGCTGCATCCGCGTGATATTTGAACCTCAAGCTAACGTGGCCAACCAGAGTCTTGTTCATCCTCCTGCTCTTCGTCTCCTCCTCTCACCTCCTCCCTTTCACCTCTCTCCCCCTCCCTGCTCGTCCTCTTCCTTCCGCCTGCTGCCTGGCACGACACATGTGCGTCCTAGGCAATGACTGCCTTGTGGTTATGTTGGGCGGGGCGAGCAGCAGTGAGTGGATTGGCAGTCGGAGGAGGAGCACCAGTAGCCGCTCGAGAAAGGGAGAGAGTGTTTGTGCCCATCGCTCGCGCCAGGGTTCTGCGCCTGCGGCTGACTCGCTTGGCTGGTCCCTTCCACAAGCAATGAGGATTTTCCCATCGTTGGCCCTCAAAGCTGTGGCCATCTTCTTAGCTTGGAAATGTTACTAGGGATTCACTCTTTCGGGTTTTTTAGCCTTGGCATGCCATGTGAGTTTTGTTGGCTGACCTTTTTTCCTGGTCATGCTGGTCTTTAAGCCCAAGGCAAGTCCAGTTTCTTTAAGCCCAAGGCAATTCCAGTTTCCTCGACCTGCGAAGGCAGGCCTCTTTCCAGGCTCATCTATCCAAGGCGTCTCGACCTGAGGTCACGGCTGTGGGGGCCACCGGTAGTAGGATTGAGGAGACAGAGGGGTGGGTTGTAATGTCAAGTGCAGGGCATGACGGCCATCTTGTTTTTTAGCACGTGCGTGCGCAAGCGCGCTTGATACTCAGCGGTTTTCTCCATCATTGGCCCACTACGTCCACTCTGCAGTAGCACGTTTCGACCACAGCGACGGCTAAGATAGCCTTCTGCTCTCAGGGTTAGATAAAACGGCCAGTGTTCTAATCCTTGGTGGAAGCATGTGTGCTTGGACTTGGACCTGCGAAGCTTGTACACGTGCGGTTGCTTCGGCGTAGCATGCAGATGTACCAACACCAAATTGACGCGGGATCATCAAGACAAGTCGGGTATGAAGCGTACGTATACTGTGCACCTGCATGTGCACGTGCTGGTCAAGTGGAGACTGCGGTCAGTGTATCCGATTCGTTGATGCACATCTTACGACAGATGCTGTACATTTCCACAATAGTTAGTCTCCCCGTCTTAGTGCGTCTGTCCGCCCCCCGAGTTCCCTCTCCCCCGCTCCTGTTTTCCCGCTCCATCGCTTCCCGTCGACCGCTCCCCCCGATCTCGTTCCACACAGTTTCCTCCCCCGTCCCTCTGCCGAAGTCATCCTGCTCCCCTGGGCAGCTCACAATAATTGGACCTCCAGATCTGCTTTTTCGACACCGAAGGTAGTCGCGCCTTGTGCTGGCAGGAGGAACATTGGCCACCGAGCCGATCTCCAGGATCCGACTGGCAATCCCTTCCCCGCCCTCTCATGAACTACCCTCTTCTGTCCCGCCCATGTCTTCCCCCGGTCCCCCCTCGGTGGTCGGATTCTCCACGGGGGCGGGGGGCCCTCCTTCCATCGTTCTGCTGCTCTTGCAGCGGGCAGCCGCCCAGGTCGGAGCGTCCGAGTTCCCGAGGCCCCGGCAGGACGCCTCCGCGGCCTTCGGGAGTGCTGGGGGGGAGTTGGGCGGGCCGGGGACGACGTGGGGACGGGAGGGGGCCACAGCGGAGGGGGTGAGGGCGCGGATGCAGCAGCGCCAAGGTTAGACCGGGGACAGGTGCATGTCGTGCATGCGCGACGCCCAGCCGTTGTACAAGTTCTCCGGCAGGTTGGTACGCGATGGGCGTTTTTGAGATCTGCCCTGACCCGCTCCTTGGGGCTCTGTAGCTACCACTCTCCATGTGCATCGGATGGAGGAGCAGCAGGCGGATTGCAAAAAAACCCTGGAACGAAGGATTGCAACAAAAACCCTGGGACGAAGGATTGCAAAAAAAACATGTTTTTTTACAATCCTTTTTTGCAATCCTGTTTTTTTTTGCAATCTTTTGCAATCCTTGGTTTTTTTGCAATCCTTCGTTCCGGGGAGGACGGGGGGGGGGGCGGGGTGCCGCGCGCCACCGCTGCGGCGGCGATTGCGCCCCTGGCTGGAGACACCTCGCTGCCCTGTGGACGCACACTACGCGCCGCGGCCCGACGTGCTGTCCTTCCTCAAGATCCACCCACGGCCTCCTCGTCTTCCTCCTCCTCCTCCTCCTCCTCCTCCTCCTCCTCCTCCCTCCTCCCTCCTCCCTCCTCCCTCCTCCCTCTTCCCTCCTCCCTCCTCCCTCCTCCCTCCTCCCTCCTCCCTCCTCGAGAGGCACGTCCACCTGGGAAGTGGCTTCTACCCCCACCTCGTCTTCACTTGTTCGGCATGGCCTGCTCTCCCTGCTCGGAGCCCGCCGCGACCCGTGCCCCGCCATCAGTGTTTGACCATCGCGAGCCTCTCCCTGCACTGGGGCTTGCACGCCGTTCGTTCCCGTCGACATGTGCACGCGAATCTCTTTGTCTACCCACATCCCAACTAGAACCACAACCTCTTCTACAATCGAACGCTGCCCAATCCGTACCTCGCAAACCATCTTCGCCGTGTGAGTTTCAAGTGCCGTGTACTCGTCGGGCACGTTTGGAGCGCAAGGCACCTTGCGAGCGCCAGGGCCATCGTGAGCTGATTGCACCTCACGACGGCCAGGTTAGTGTGAAACCTCTTCCTCGTGACGCCCTTTCGGTGCATCACGCGAAGTCTCTATTGCGTTAGCCCCGTGGCCCACTTCTCGTGTACCGCGAGCCTCTGGTTCTTCGCACAGCGCCTGTACTCCCTGAGTCCCCATGTCGCTGCCAGGGCCTGCGCTTGTTACACCTCGTGACTTACATCTCATACCCTGCGGCCTACGTTTGCCATGCGAGCCTCCGGTGCACTATCAGGGCCCAATACCTTGCGAGTCACTCATACTTTGTACAATACTTGCTCCTTGCCCGCCCCAGCTTCTTTTGAATCTAACTATTTCCTCGGTTGTGTTGCCGCGCGCGCCACAGCCTGCTCCCACCTCCTCAGGGTTGGAATCATTTCCCCTCTGCGCCATCTGTCTATTGTCGATTGCTATTGCGGCCATGTCAGCACCTTTTTCGCTTTCGAAGGATGATACTTCATCGCCTCTTATCCCTCCGCACTTTTTCCAAGCTCCTCCACGCCTGTATCGGCTCCATCGAGGCCCCATCACCCGCCCCTCTCGAGGTCTAGGCACCTGCTCTCCTGGTGTTCATCAGACGGTCAAGCTACCCACGCCTCCGCAGTGGAGGCAACTTTCTCTCGTGGAAGTGCCCTCGTCCATCTTGCGAACCAATCGTGCGGCGTGCCCGCTGTTTGGAAAGCATTCCCCGAGGTACGCGTGCTCGCTCCCAGGAGGGCAACGTGCAGGGCAAGGTGCCAGCCCCCTGTTTTTGCGGAAATGGTGCGATGGTGGCGAACATTTGCCTTTCGCGTACCCTGTTGAGATATTCGGGCTGATCCTCATGCCTGTGCGTACCTTGAGCGGGACGCTGCGGTGAAGGCTGCGGCCATGCCCCTCATCCAACCTGTTGAGGGCGTCCCGCCTGGGCCTCCTCCTTTACTTTTTCTTATTCCCACTGGAATTATTTCCTCTCTGTGTCGGTCCACCCATGGTCGCAGGTACCCTATATTTTTCTTTTTGGCTCTGCGCAGAAACCAGGGCTATGCTTGCGATATGAGCCCGCTGTAGCGTCTATTGCGTTCAATTTCCAATGCCTTGCCTTCTCACTGTCTGTATGCGCGTACATCATACGGGTACTAGTGTTTCTCCTGCCGGGACGCCACTCAAGATTGTGGACCATGCCGTGTATCTTGGAGGGCTACTGAACCTAGCTTGTGTTGCTACGCCTGAGGTCACTGGGAGGATCGGGGAGGCCAGGCAGATTTTCAAGAATTTGTCCGGGAGCTGGTCGCAAGCCAACATTTGCCGTTTCAGGAAAACCCATCTGTACAGGGCAGCTGTCTTGTCAAAGCTGTTGTGCAATTTAGAAACTCTGTGGTTATTGCAGCTGCCATGCGCAGTGCTTGCGACGGATTCTGAGAATTCCGAGCGCAAATGTGTTAATAATATCGAATGCAGATGTGCTGGGGCGCGCGGGGGAACTTCCGCTGAGCTCTACGCCTGTGTGGCCGGCAGACGAGACTGCATCAGAAGATCGCTGCGCTCCCCGAGCGCCATTCCCTGAGACTCTTGACTTGCATGCCTGGTGCAGACCTCACCAGACAGTGGGAACAGAAGCGCCGCCGCGGGAGGCCAAAAGAACAGTGGGCCTTTTGTGTTCATAGGCTCCTACATTCGCATTAGTTGTACTCTCGCTCCCTTCTCCCTCTCCCTTCCCCTTCCTCCCCCTCCCCCTCGCCCCCCCTTCTCCCCATGCAGGCGTGCAGATTACCATAGCAAAGCAGCATGTAGTATTACAGTGCGGCGCCCCCCTTTTGGGTTCAGATGTTTTCTTTTTTGTTCAGAATCTGCTTCCACCAGGCCTGCACGCGCGACTTTCTATCTGCTGATGCGCCGTTTGAGCGCCGGGCTTGACTGACGGACTGACTGCCTCCTCGCTATTTCCGGAACCGAGCTCGTCTGACGTGTAGGCCTATGTTGTAGTTCTCCGAGGTGGAGGGGATCAAAGCGGCCTGGGCCCCCCTTCTTCTCGTTTGCTCCTTTGTCCCTCGACCCTCGTCGGCGTGTCGTTCTCTTCGGTTCTGGTGGTCTACCGTTTCTGCCTGTGCCGAGGTGCCCTTTTCAAATTTCATTGCTGTCGAACTGTCGATGTATGGCAACCAGGTGCGTCGCTCTGGCTAAATAAGTGATGCGTCACTGCTTCGCCCTTTGTTTACGGCGCTTTTCGAGGGCACGTCGCACAGGGACTCCAGGCTTTCGTTTTTACTGACTTCTGCGGCCGCCCCGACCACAGTCGGCCGCGGCCTTATACCGCCGTGGCGTGGAGGACTCATGCCAGTCCGTTCGACCATCCCTCCCTCCATTCCCCTCTCTCTTAGCTGCCTCGATACGCCCGTTTTGATACGCAACACGTGCCGTGCTCAAAACGTCCGTGTCAATACGTTGCGTGTTGGCTCCACGTATTGGACCACGTCTTGGCGAATGTATCGCGTCGGACCTACGTTTTCAGCCGAAGTGTTGAGCTCCGTATCAACACGGTACGTGTTGCGTGTTGCGTATCGGGGCAGCTAAGCCCTCCCTCCATCCATCCTTCCCGCGCGCGCGCAGGACCACCCCGGCGTTCGGCGACTCTTCGGCAGCGTCGCACCGCTCCGTGCCCCGCTCGGCGCGGTTGTCGCGGGTGTTCTCCGAGGCGCCGGTGGACTTTGCTTGGGCTCTCTCCGCAGCAGCGCTTGCAGGAGGGAGGAGCGAGAGAAGGTCCAGAGAGGAGGGGGAGTCGGAGGACCAGAGTAGAATCCGGATGCACCACTGATTCGGCAACGTCAGACGCTTCTGTTTAAGTCCCTCCAGCCGTTTTCTGTCATCCTGTCACTGCGGGATGCGCCCCCTTCACAGGCGAACGCCCGATGGGCCTGCTATTCAAGCGGACACCCGCGTTGAAAAGACAGCCGCCCTCTGTCCTACGAGAAATCACAAGTTCAAAGAGGTAAGCTCGTACACAGTTCGAGGAAATGCCCAGCGAGAGCCCACTGGTGAAAAAGAAGCCTCCCATACTCCGTGTAGCTGCTACGTAGTTGCAGCCTCTGGAAATCCCAACCGGGAACATCGTTTTGAAATTAGCCGGGCGAAGGACCCAACCATGGGCTGTTGTGAGTAACGCAGTTGTGGGTACCGTCCTCGGTGAACCTTTCTCCGGGGCCACGACGCGTGTCACGGGTGTTCCAAAATTGGCACGGGTACGCCATGCGGACGGTGCCACCGAAACGTGTGAGGGGTGCGCCGAAATGCAGGGTGGAACCGCGTGCGGGTGCTGCCACCAGAGCCTTTGGCGGAGCTCCATGTGATGTTACGAGGCGTGTGAGGGGTGCGCCGAAATGAAGAGCGGCATGCGGGCGCTGCCATTGGGGCCTTCGGTGGAGCACCCAATGGGGCGGGCCACGAAACGTGTGATGGGTGCGTCGGATTGGGAGTGGAACTGCATGCGGACCTTGCCACTGGGGTCTTCGGTGGAGCACCTTATGGGGCCACCGAACGTACGAGGGGTGCGGCGAGATTGGAGTGGAACTGCATGCGGACCCTGCCACTGGGGCCTTCGGTGGAGCACCCTATGGGGCCACGAAACGTTTGAGAGGTGCGCCGAAATGGAGGTGTAAACTGCATGCGGGCCCTGCCACTGGGGCCTTCGGCGGAGCACCCCATGGAGCCGCGGAACGTGCACGGGGTGCGCCGAAATGTTGGTGAAACTGCACGCGGACCCTGCCACTGGGGCCTTGGGTGGAGCACCCTATGGGGCCACGAAACGTTTGAGAGGTGCGCCGAAATGTAGGTGTAAACTGCATGCGGACCCTGCCACTGGGGCCTTCGGTGGAACACCCTATGGGGCCACGAAGCGTGTGAGGGGTGCGCCGAAATGGGCATGCGAGAGAGCAGAGGCAGGGAGGGGAGGAGGGAGGAGGGAGGAGGGGGAGGAGGAGGAGTGGGAACGCAGGGCGGCGTCTCTTCAAAACGAGGACCCGACACCACAGGATGGTTGGGGGAAAAACCCATTCTCCGTCAGAGTATTTGTTGCACCTTTGCGTGCGTGTGTGATTTTGGTGGTCGTAATCCAAAAAGTAACGAGAGAGATCCCCACTTTGAATAGGAACCGTCCTCCATCCGTGTACTTGTGACCCTCCTTCAAGACGGATGCGCGCGGCGTTGAGGTAAGAACTCCATATTTGAAATGGTCTGTCTTCTATCCGTGAAAGCGCTGCAAGCTTTTGAAACAAGCGTGCGCGGCGTTAATGCTATATACCCATCTTGAACAGGATACCCATGTTGCGAGGAGTGCGCCTGGCGCTAAGGCGAGAAACACATTTGAAAACGGGCCGCTCTGCATTCGTGCTGTTGTTGGACATGGTAAACTTCAAGACCTTCAGCATGCGAAGACATTGCGAGCGAAAGCCAGACTCGCCCTACTGACACGCCAGTTTGTGCAACGAGGAAGCGTTACTTGCAATGAGGTGGGAAGGAGGAAGATGATGATGATGATGATGATGATGATGATGATGATGATGATGATGATGATGATGATGATGAGGAGGAGGAGGAGGAGGAGGAGGAGGAGGACGACGGCATCAACGGGGAGGGGATGAGGATTCTAGCGAAGGACTCTGCTGACGCGCCTAACTCGGCGCGAGGCGGGCCCGATCAACCCCCGACGAGAGTCGAAGTCAGCACCGGGCAACGCTGGGCCCGCGCAAACGAGACAGTCAGCCGAGGTGCATCGCTGGGGCCGCCCAACCCCGCGGACCCCCCCCTCAAATCCAGCTGATGGTGACGGCAAGGCAAGGCGCAGCGGACCCAGTTCAGAGCTTCCAAGGCCTTTGTCGCACGAGAGCTATGCGCTCCTCGCCAGCCTTCTCCGACTGCGCTTGCAGCGCTCGTTGCCGGTGTCCTCGTCCACGGCCTCCTTCTGCTTGTTTTCGGCCGTGCTGATCCTGATAACCAGCCTGCTGTGGTCCTTCTCCAGCTTCGCGGACGCCGGCACCAGATACCAGCAGAAGAGCAACTCGCTCAGCAGCCTCCTGTTTTTGTCCTTCCCAAGCCACTGGCATTGTTGTTGCCACTATTCACTCCGTGACACCTTCAACGAGAAGATAGGCCACAAGGTATCTTTCTCAGAACGATTGCGGCTTTCAGGCGCTGGCCCCACTCCACATATATATACACATGTATAGGTATATATATATATGTATATATGTATATGTATATATATATATGTGCTCGCCTCCCCCCCACATGATCATACACATTCTCCCTTCATCCCTCCAGTCCTCCCTCCCCCTTCCTTTCTCCTGCTCTTCTTCATTGTGTTTTGCTACGTTGCCAGCCGCAACCTAGTCGATTGCATTCGTATCCGATGTAACCAAATACGTCGCACGCCAAGGGATTGGCACCGACTCGAAGGAAAGCCAAAGGATTGCATTTTAAACGCTTCAATGCGAAGCGACTGCAATCTTTCGCGGCGCATTGCAATCCAATCGGCTGCGTTGCAACCGATCACTAGTAATATATTTGTTCAGGATCTTCTCCCCCTTCCTCCCCCTCATCCTCATCCGCCTCATCTTCTTCCTCCTCCTCTTCCTTCTCATCCGCCTCATCTTCCTTCTCCTCTTCCTTCTCATCCGCCTATGTCTCATTGTTGTGAAAGGTTACAACACGAACCTTTCTGCGGAGGATTTCTATATGACTCGTTCTGTGAAGGATTTCAATAGGAATGCTTCTCCGGAGGATTTCAATAGGATCTCCCTGTGGGAGATTTCAATAGGAATCCTTCTGTGGAGGATTTCCTCCTTCCTCCTCCTCCTCATCCGCCTCATTTTCCCTCTCCCTCCGAATCCGCCTACTTCTCCTTTTTGCGAAGGGTGTCACCCTGATGTGGAGGATTTCACTAGGAATCCTTCTGTGGTGGCTTTCAGTAGAAACCATCCCCTCGTCCGCCTCATCTTCTTCGTCCTCCTCCTCATCCGCCTCATTTTTCTGTCAAGGGTTTCAATCGGAATCCTTCGAGAAGGGGGCAGGAAAAAGGGCGAAGAGAAGGAGCAGGAGGAGGAGAAGGATGAGGATGAGGAGGAGGAAAACGAGGAGGATGAGGAGCATGACGAGGGCGACGCGCAACACATTACTCACACACCAGCTTGTGGAGCTGCGTTCGCAACTGGATTTGTGAGCAGCGCCTCGAAGCGGAGAGCAGCGGGCAGAATGAACAGGAACAGGAGCAGCAGGAGGAGGAGGCAGGTGAGGAAGAGGAGGGCGGGGAGGAAAACGAGGAGGGTGAGGAGCATGACAAAGGTGAGGAGGAACATGTTACCCACAGGGGTATTTGTGGAGCCGCGTTCACAACTAGTTTTGTGTCTCGTAGCGGAAGGTTGCTCGCAAAACTTGTTGTGGAATTGCGTTCACAATTTGATTAGTGAGTAACGCCTCGAAGCGGAGAGGAGGGGGCATAATGAACAGGAGCAGGAGGAAGAAGAGGAGGGTGAGGAGCATAACGAAGGTGAGGAGGAACACACTACTCACAAAACTAGTTGTGGAGCGGAGTTCAAAACTAGTTTTGTCAGTGATGTTTCGTAGCGGGAGGTTACTCGCCAACCTTGATGTGCAGCTGCGTTCACAACTTGACTAGTGAGTAACGCCTCGAAGCGGACAGCAGCGGGCAGACTGAAGAAGAGGAGCATGAGCAGCAGGAGGAGAAGGGTGAGGAGAACGAAGAGGAGGGCGAGGAGAACGACGAAGGTGAGGAGGAACATATTACTCAAGAGACTACTTGTGGAGCGGCGTTCACAACTAGTTTTGTGCGTAATGTTTCGTAGCGGGAGGTTACTCGCAAAATTTGATGTGCAGTTGCGTGCGCACTTAGATTCGTGAGTAACGCCTCGAAGCGGAGAGGAGGAGGCTGAGTGAAGAGGAGAAGGAGGAGGAAAGGGGGAGGAGCAGGAGGAGTAGAAGGAGGAAGAAGAGGAGGTTGTGGACCATGACGAAGGTGAGGAGGAACACCTTACTCACACAACTAGTAGTGGAGCGGCGTTTACAATTTGTTTTGTGAGTAATGCTTCGTAGCAGGAGGTTTCTCGCAAAACTACTTGTGGAGCAGCGTTCACAACTAGATTTGCGAGTAACGCCTCGAAGCGGAGAGGAGGGGCACTCCCTCCCACTCTTCCTCCTCCTCCTCCTCTTCCTCCTCCTCCTCCTCCTTCTCTTCGGAATCAGCGAAATCGTGAAAACCACCGAAAAGCTTCAGACCCCCCCCCCCAAATAAACAAAAACATCATTTCGGGAAAACCTCGCCGTGTCGGCCCCTCTCCCCAGAAGTTCTCCCGACATGATGTTTTTTGAGGTTATTTGAAGCTTTTCTGTGGTTTTCGCGATTTCGCTAATTCCGAAGAGGAGGAGGAGAGAGGAGGAGGAGGAGGAGGAGGAGGAGGAGGAGGAGGAGGAGGAGGAGGAGGAGGACAGGAGGAGGAGGAGGAGGACGACGGAGGAGGGAGAGGAGGAGGAGGAGGAGGAGGAGGAGGGATAGGGGGAGGAGAAGGAAACGCAGAGTGAAGATATCGTTCGGCGGCCGCGGTAGAGACGAACATGTATGATGATGTTGGGGGCGTCAACATATCTATACATATGTGTATATTTGTGTGCCTGTGTGTATTATGTATGTACGTATGTATGTATGTATGTCTGTATGCATGTCTATATGTACGCATTCATAAATATGTATGTATGTATGTATGTATGCATGCATGCATTCATGCATGTATGTATGTATGTATGTATGTATGCATGCATGCATGTATGTATGTATGTATGCACGTATGTATGTATGTATGTATGTGTATGTATGCATGCATGCATACATGCATGCATGTATGTATGTATGTATATATCTATCTATTTATCTATATATCTATGTATGTATGTATGCATGCATGCATGAATGCATGCATGTATGTATGCTGGCATGCTCGCATGCTCGCATGTATGCATGTATACATGCATGCATGTATACAGGCATGCATGTATGCATGTATGCATGTATGCATGTATGCATGTATGCATGTATGTATGCATGTATGTATGTATGTATGTATGTATACATGCATGCATGTATGCAGGCATGCATGTATGTACATATGTATGTATGTATGTATGTATGTATGAATGAATGAATGAATGAATGTATGAATATATGTATGTATGTCTGTATGTATGTGTGTATGTATGTATGTATGTATGTATGTATGTATGTATGTATGTATGTATGTATGTATGTATGTATATATAAAAACATTTCGGGTTCGTGCGTGCGGGCGAGGCGAAGCTGCGTGGGCGGGCGAGAGGAAATCCTCCTGTGGCTGGGCCGCGGCCGGACCAAATGTTTCTTCTGCGGCGGCCGGTGGCCCGCGGTGTCCCGCCGGTGTCCCGCTGGTGTCCCGAAATCCTCCTGTGGCTGGGCTGCGGCCAGACCAAATCATTCTCCTCTGGCGGCCGGTGGCCCGCGGTGTCCCGCCGGTGTCTCGCTGGTGTCCCGAAATACTCCTGTGGCTGGGCCGCGGCCGGACCAAATGATTCTCCTCTGGCGGCCGGTGGCGCGCGGTGTCCCGCCGGTGTCCCGCTGGTGTCCCGAAGTCCTCCTGTGGCTGGGCCGCGGCCGGACCAGATGATGCTCCTCCCGTCAAACGGTGGCCCGCGGTATTCCGCTGTTGTCCCGCTGGTGTCCCGCCGTGGGTTGTGCGTTGGGCACCGCAGCGCGCACGTTCGACCACGTCGACTAGCGCTGAGGTGAGGTTCGCGCGATTGATAAGCCCACGCGGGGACAGCGCTTCACGACAATGTCGAGTGCGCTTCGTCAATATCGCCACATCACATCACGCTCACGTGCACAATCGAACTACTCACTAGACTCCGCCCCACAGGCATCGTCAGAACAACAATCACCACTTTTGCCCATTGCTGTCCCCACCCATCCTCATTATCACCCGCAGGGATATCGGAGGTTGGGGGGTGAGATCGCAGCTGAACGGAGACCCCCAACCGGGAAATCGTTTCGTTTCGTTCGTGTCGTGCGTGCGGGCGTGGCGAAGCTGCGTGGGCGCGCGAGAGGAATGAACCCGCCGCTGCCAGGGCGAAGTCAAGACTAATGTTGCTCTCCGTCCGTCCGTCCGTCCTGGCGGTGGCCCTAGCGGTGTCCCGCGGTGTCCCGTGGTGTCCCGTGGTGTCCCGTGGTGTCCCGTGGTGTCCGCCGTTGTTAGGGCGAAGTCAAGACAATTGTTTCGCTCCCGTCCGTCCGTCCGGCGGTGGCTCACGGTGTCCCGCGGTGTCCCGTGGTGTCCCGTGGTGTCCGCCGTTGTTCGGGCGAAGTCAAGACAAATGATTCTCCCCCGTCCGCCCGTCCGTTCGTCCGTCCGGCGATGGCTCGCGGTGTCCCGCGGTGTCCCATGGTGTCCCGTGGTGTCCCGTGGTGTCCCGTGGTTTCCCGTTGAGTGAGATCGATAGTGGAAAGACCGTGTTCTACCGCTGCTGGCGGAAAACCGGGGGGGGGGGTCACTTGGGGTCCCTAACCCGCCCCCCCCTCTCGAAAACCGGGGGGGGGGGTCACTACCGGTTCCAACCCTTCCCCCCCCCCCGTCCATCATCAAAAAGGGGGGGTCACTACTGGTTCGGACCCCCCCCCCTCCCCCCCCCTCGAAAATCGGGGGGGGGTCACTACCGGTTCGAACCCCCCTCTCGCCGCCGGCAAACAATTCCCGTTCCTCGGGACAGTTGGACAGTGTTGGGGATACTGGACAGTGGTGGGAACGGTGGTGGTGGGGACAGTGGTGCGTGGACAGTGGGACAGTGGTGTGGACACTGGTGGGGACGGTTGTGGTGGGGACAGTGGTGAGGGGACAGCGGGACAGTGGTGGGGACAGTGGGACAGTGGTGGGCAGTGGTGAAGGCGGTGGTGAGGACGGTGGTGGGACAGTAGAACAGTGGGGAAAGCAGTGGGGACAGTGGGAACAGTGGGACAGTGGTGGGGACAGTGGGGACAGTGGGACAGCACAGTGGGACAGCGGCGGGGACAGTGGGGACAGTGGGACAGAGGTGGGAACAGTGGGGACAGTGGGACAGTCGTGGGGACCGTGGGGAAAATGGAACGGCGGCCCCGCCCCCGGCCGCTCGCCTCGAGGCCTCCGTGCTCCCGGACAGCCCCACGCTCTGCTGGCCTCTCGGGGGGCGGGCCACGCGGGCCAGCCGAGTACGCTCCCAGACCGTACGGGTGGTTGCCCTCTCTTCGTTTCTCACTTTGCCTTCCCCTCGTCGTTCCTCGTCATCCGTCATCCTCCCACTCTGCCTCCCCCCCTTTGCCTCGTCCGTCCTCCTCCTGTGAGCCACGCCGGCTCCAAGACGAGCCCGCCGCGGCCGCGCCTTGACCCCCGTGCCTGTCGACACGCCAGCCTTGGATGCGAGGGGCGATCCCGCCCAGCCACTGCGACGACAGCACGTTGCATCCTATGCTCCCCCACTGCGTCGCAGATTACGCGCCCACCGACCAGCAGCATGCGCAAACGATCCTGTCTACGCATGACCATTGCTGGTTCAAATCACATATGGAGCGTCTACTATGTCTGCGTGTTGGCTGCTTCGCCCTCGTCAAGATACGCCTAAGCGCGAGTTTGTCTTCGGCGGCCCCAGCCGCTGGCAAAAGCGCCGACCTAGCCCACCATGAGCTGGTGTTTTCCCAGGCCTGCGCTCCTGGTTGATGCAGAACTGCAGCTTCTCCTTGCGCATCATGCCCGTGTGGCTGCTCTGGCTGCTGAGTGGGAGGCCGAGGAGTTCGCGCTCGACGCGCTGCTGGCTTGGACCAGTCCCTGCCCCGCCTGCTGCTGGTGCCCTATGACACGAATCGGCTGAATGAAAGTCTAATTCGGTACGCCCGCAACTGGTGTGCCCCAGCCTGGACCGCTTGCTCTTGGCAGGCGGAAACTGGGAACAATTTAGAACGCCTCCCCTGGGGCTGCCTGATTGCGAGCAGCGCTCCGACGACTCCCGACCTGGATCACCTGCCGTCAGTTGCTATTGCTCGAATCACCTGCTGGCAAGCCACGACCTAGGCCGCGCGCCGCTGTTGGGGTACGGCCTGGAGCGCATGCTGGTGGCGAGCTACCTTCCCCCCTGGCCGCGGATGGTGGAGAGCGACGTCCTCATGAGCCACGCCCAGGGGGCTCCGACCGAAACGGCCTGTCGTCGATGTGCAATAGACGAGGGTGGGGAGCCACGCCCTGGTGGGTGGGCAACGCCTCAGTGAGAGTTATATGGGAGAGCTCCAACCCGTACTTCCCGCTCCTGGCAGACGCGTGCAAGATGAGTGTGTGTGTGTGTGTGTGTGTGTGTCTCACTGTGCACTACCTGCTGGTGTGCGACTGCGTTGCGGCATTCGCGTTCTACCTATGTCTGTCCCTCGTTGCTTTCCCGTTTACCCCTCTCTCTCTCTCTTCCCATCTCTTCTTGCTGCCGTGGCGCTTGTGTTTGTGTTTGTGCTTGTGAGTGTGTGCGGGCCCCCATATGAGTAGACCAGGCATCTCCCTGCTGCGTGAGCTGGCCCGGCCTGCGCGCACTGCCCTACGCCCGACCTGTTTCCACCGCGCTGCCGCGCACGGCTGAGTAATGTCATGCGCGTGTTTGTTTGTGTGACCAGGCAAGGGCGACAGGGAGGGCCGACAACACTATCGCCCACATCATGGTTGCCTACGCCCGCTCGCGCTGTCCCCCCAGATTGATGAGGCATGAAAGACCTGGACATTCGAGCATCGCGCGTCCTCCGTCCTCAAATCAGGAGCGCCAGGCGACCCCAGAGCATGGACCGAAGCCAGCTGCAAGCAATTCCTCATGACCATCTATGGCGACACCATCCCCCAATCCGGATTCCCAGATGATATCCAGTGGGACGGCATGCACGCCTCCCTGGCTCAAGTGGTGAGCCACCTCCACAGCCAACGGCACCGAGCCTCCTTCCGAGGCTCCAGCACGGTCGACGAGTGGGACCAGTACCGGCTGCGCCACGACCCCCGAGCCAACAGGAAGGGACACGATCCTACCCGCTATAGCCAGGACATCTTGCTTGGCTACCTGGATTCGAGGAACATCAGCAGCCTACGTGACCCGCAACTGGCCGGATTCGATCCAATCGGCACCAGCAGGCTGCCAAGCCCTCCCCTCGCCGCCGTCATCGCCCCTGCCTAGAGCACTCCTGCTCCGCCCCTGGATCAGGGAGCCGCGGGATCCGGCGAGACCAACTTGCCTGCGGGGCTACCTGCCGAGAGGCTGGCGCTGCCCCCTGCGCCCACCCCTCCGCAGCACAGGAACCCCGAGCGGGCTGGCAGTGGCCCCCCTCCACTCGTGCGCGAGACAGCTGCGGGGCCCCAAGGCCCCGCCGACAGGGGGCACGAGCGCGCGCGCGGAAATCCCAGGGAGGCCACGCGCGCTGCCGCACGTCGGCAGGCCAGCAGATCCCCCAACCCGCCGCCGGCGCCGCGGTCCCCCCCAGCACCACCACAGGCCCAGACTGGAGCGGTTCCCCTGAGCGGCGAACCCCGGGCAGCCCAGCCCCCCCGAACGCCGACGCTGCCCAACTCAGCCCGCATGGCTCCCCTCAGCGCGCCACCGAGGAGCCCCCAGAGCCAAGCCCGGAACGCGGGCTGGCGCTACAGGCAGAGCAGTCCGACGGAGGCGCGCCCGCCGACGAGGAGGAACCCGTGCGCAAGACCCCCCCCCACCTCTGAGCACCACAGCCCGGTTGCTGCTGGGAGTGGCAGCGGGAGCGACTCCTGGAGGAACAACCCCTCCTTGGCGCCAGGCTGGGCCGCCCCACCGTACTGCCATCCTGCCCCGGAAGTATACCCCCCATTGGGATCGCGACGACTGGCAGTACTACAAACCATGCCAGGCCATCTCCTGGCATCCCGATTGGAGCTACCACGCCCAGCGACAGGAGAACTGGCACGAAGTGGTCAACCGCCTAATTAAGGAATGTGGCCCCATGTTGGCCATTGACTGGAACGCCATCTGCGACCGCCACCAAGGGCAGACAGGGTCCACCAGGGACCCCAGCCGGCTGCCAGTCGAGTTCTGCCATGATTTCCTCACCCAGCTCATCCAGGCTGACCTCGACATCCGCACTCTTTGCTGGAGCAAGCATATCCACGTCGATTGGCAGGCGTCGTGGAAGCAGGAGATGGAAAAGAGGCAGCCGGCAAGCCATGGTGGAAAAGGCAAAGGGAATAGCCCCCCACCCCATGGCAAGGGTATATGGCCTGCCGACGCCACTTGGCCCATCAACGACTTTGCCAGGCAGCGGTGCGTGGGCTCCTCCAATCGCCACCTGGTAGGCGGCCGCAGGCACCCGGACCATCACCGCCCTTCGCAGTGGGTTCGCCCTCGGGCCTCCCGCTAACCCCCCATCCGACTGACCTCAGTCGTTTCCAAGGTCAGTGCACCTGTTCGGTGCGGCCTCGTGCCTACCCCCGGCGCAGCCGCCCCGTCAGCCTGCTACCCCCCGCGAGGCAACCTGCCACGCTTCCTGTCCACGTCTGGTGCACCTGCTCGGCGCTGCCCCCACCTCCTCCCGTGGCCAAGCCTTGCCTGCCGCGCCCAGCGCACCTTGCCGCGCTACCCCCCTTCGCCCACGGGCGAGGCCTTCGGGTGAGACGCCTCGCTCGCTGGCCTGGGGCCCCGCCGCCTCAGCGCTGCGCCCCGCGGCGGTCGTCTCGGCTGCCCCCGCCGGTCGAGCAGCGAGAGCCCTGCCCCTCTTAGGCCGTTACTCTTTGCTCCGCACGCCGTGGGCCAGCTCTAGTCCACTTCTCTGGGGTGCTGGCGAGCCTGCCTTCTGTGAGCCAGTCTTGCCGCTCGCCCCGGGCGCTCTTTGCACCCTCCCCCCCGCCTTCGCCCCGTCCTGCTCCGCGTTCCTCCGGGAGGAGGCCCCCGCCGCTGCGTCCCTTGCCCTGCGCAGGTTGGATCGCCGGCCTTGTGCAGGTTTTGGCCCAGGTCTTTGCCCGTTGCCTCCTCCTCCGCCTACCCCACTCCCCGGCGGTGCTTCCCTGCTCCCACCGCTCGCCTGGTCCTACGATCGGGCCCTCGCCCGGGGTCCCTGGGATGCCTCGTTGGCCATCCGCGGCCACGGCTCTCGCCGCCCCCTTTGTGCCTGGTTTTCAGGCCAGCCCATCTGGCGTGTCCGCCCCGCCGGCGCTACCGGTCTGCGGGTTCCGGCTTTGCTGCCTGCTCTTCCCTGTGTTCCTTCCGCCCCCCTGCCCCAGGGCTCTCACGGGCCGGCCCTCCCCTGGTTGCCTCGCAGGTCCGCTGGTCTCGGCGCCTTGGCCGGCCCTTGCTCTTCCACTCCGCCCTGCTGGGTACCCTTCCCCAGTGCCCCTGGCCCCTCACCTGAGGTGTTCCCTCTGGCGGCTGCCCCCCGTGCCTGGAGGTCAGTGGATCTCAGTGCCTCGGTCGCCCGGCTGCGCTGCCCATCTCCAGCGAGCGCTGGACCTGCCACCCCCAGCCTCGGCTTTGCCTGGCTGCCCGCCAGCTGCCGCCCCCCAGCTGCTGCCTCGCCGCCGCCGCTGGCCTCCCGCATCGGCGCCCCCCCCGCCGCGGCCTGGCCCTGCCATGAGCGGGCCCCGCTTCCTCTCCCTTCGGCCCGCGCCGGGCCTCCTCTCTCTTCCCGCGCACCCGCGGCTTCATTCGCGTTTTGTTCGCCCGACTAATGCCACACCGCCTGAGCAGTCCCCCTGCCCAGCCGCCGACGCAAAAAGCTTGTTTGTGTGTATGCGTGTTGCCCCCGACCCCGGCCTGACCCCATCGCGCCACGCTTCACGGCTCTGGCCCGTCACTGTCGCACCGCTCCCGCACCTCTCCCCCGTCGCCCCCCTTTTTCCCCTGCACGCGTTCTCCTCGCGACTGCCCTCTCGCGAGCATTTCTGTCTGATCCCCTATGGGATGGTCCAGCTTCTCCACGCTGCGTGAGCTGGCCCAGCCAACGCGCGCCAAAAAGTGCGTGTGTGTGTGTGTGTTTGTGTATGTGTATGTGTGTGTGTGTGTGTGTGTGTGTGTCCCGTGGTCGTTCCCCTGTTGGTGGCTTCCTCACTTGTCTCCTCTCTCGGCTGGCCTCCCGAGAGACGGTCGCGCAGCGGTGTTCCCGACGGGTGCGAATTGCGGGCGGCCCAGAAGCCGTCTGGAAACCGATCGGGTTCAATTTGACGCCTGGTGGGGTGTGAAGCTGTCTTTCATTGAGCATGTGTCTGGCCAATGTTTTTGCCGTGCCTGGGGCTTCCTGGCAGGTTTCCTGGACTGTTTGAGCTTCTGGGAGCCTGCTGGAGTGCTGTCCGCGCCGTTTGGTCGTCTTCGGGAACTCGGTGCCCTCGGGGAAGGCAGCCCAAATCCTGAGGGTTTTGAATCAACAATTGGCGCATGTCGGTCGTGATGCAGTGGGGGGGCCTTAGCATGTGTGCTACAACTGGCACAGATCAGTGGAACAAAAACATTGCCCGATGTGCAGCGGCATATTTTCGACCGTCGGGGAGCCTCTCACGCGCAGTGCTCCATCTGAGGATGTGAGTCCTGGGGCCTCTCGAGAATTATCCTCTCTCACCTGGGCGATTCTTTGGCGGCGATTGCAGGCCACAGGACCTTGGGCGCTGCAAATTACGATGCCTTCGGCGGTGAAGATCACGAAACATTTGGCGCAGCTTGTCATCCGTGTGACTGTCCAGAAACATTTTCGGGCATTCCGCACAGTCGCGTATTACAGGTTCCCCTAAGGTGATGGTTCAGTCCTTCTTTTCATCTTTCTGCTGCCTCCTCCCTCCCTCCTCCCTCATCCCTGTGTCCTCCTGGAGCGTGCTCGTCGCGCCAGTCCCTAGGCCAACAAACCATATCCTTTCTTCCTACGATTGTTTCCTGTTTCTTCCTCCCACACGCATCCCACCCCCTCCTCCCTGATCCTCCAATCCCCCTCTTTCCCCTGTTCTTCCCCTCCCCCACTGGATTGTCCATCCCGCTCCTGCTCTCATCTTGTCTCCCACCATGTTGCTGGACCGTTGCCCTTCTTCCCCTCCCGTGTATCCTGTTAGGGGCAATGGGTCATGCCGCAGTGTGGAAGAACACCCCTATCATGAGGCTTGCGAATTCAGGCGGCGATGATGTACCGATATTGTCGATGATAGTGACGCGCTCTCGGCTTGCGGGGCATGTGAGCATCGTGCCTTGTGGGATAGGTTTTGCCAGTCACGATAGGGGTCACGCTGTTGTGGTGATGGTGGTCGCGACAGTTTGTGGAGTGCAATGTGGTACTCATGCTCGTGTGTGGAGGTGTTCTCATCATGATCGTGGCATTTGCTTTTGGTCGGTTACCAGTGTTTGCGCCTTCCCCTGATGAGGATGGTGTGAGTGGCACAAGAGCTCCGAGGCTTTCCAGAAGTAGTAGCAGCGCTGGCGCCGGTCCAGGCATTGTGACGTGTGTTTTGCGCAGAGCTCTTCCATGCACGGCTTGATGTCGCTTGTGTGCCCTAGAGTTGTCTTTCCTGGCCGTTCATCAACTATATTTGCTTCTTCTGTGTGCACGGTATGTTTCCGAAGGGACTTGATCATGCGGGATTGTGCACATCCAGGGTGATCGAACACCGCGTCATGATAGCATTCTCGTTAGTTGCACTGTGCTCTGATGCTCATGTACGGTCGAATGCAGAACAGAGTGATTGCCATACTCTATGTACAGTCGTAGCTTAGATGCAGATTTCCTGTCGAGGAGCACCGTAACGCCCTCGTCAGAGGCCTCCAGAAAGTCACCAGTTGCGATGTTCGCGGGTGTGGCGGCGATTTCAGTCGTGTCACAGTGTCCCATATGCAAGACAATAATCCAGTCTTTGGCTTTGCACTTCGAGACAGCTTGTCCCGGCCGAAGGACTGACGACGTTTTTGCTGATCCATATCTTGTTGCGTTCGGCGGCCTCATCAAGGTAATTCGGAGGGCCGATGCTTGCCGAGGACAACAACCGAGAAGAAAGGCCCAGGAACCCCGTCCTGCGCTTCGTAGGACCCCGCTGTTGCACCAGAGGCACTCGGGTCGGTCGCGCCGAGGTGCCCCACGTCTATTGGAACAGTCATAGGTTTTGTGGCTCGGGCGCACGCCGACTGGCTGAAGCTTCAGGGCAGTCGGGCGCCATGTCCCATTTCATGCTCGGCCTGCAGTGCGTCTGGCAATTGACCAGGGTCGCACTGCGTCAAGATGCCGTAAGCGTGCAGCCACACGTGGGGGCGTGGCGGATCATCGCCTGGACCGTGTCTCGCTGTCTCGCGGTGCTTCTCGGGACCCTGCTGATGCTGAAGTTCTTACCGAGCTCTCTGTCGACGGCCTCAGCGCTCCCCATACCCCTCCCGCTCCTGGCCCCCCTCCCCGCACCCTCGGCCCGCACACTCAGCGCGTGCCCGCGTCCCGCGGTACAAGGGCTGGACCTGAACGGCGTTTTGGCGATTTCGTGGGCCGTTTTCGTTTCGACTTCGTTTTGCAGTAGAGGTGGATTGAAGACAAAACGAGGGAAAAAGAAAAACAAAACGAAACCGAAACACACCGTTTAGGTTCAGCCCTGCGCGGTACCGACGTGCCCGCAGGAAGTGATCCCGTCTGCTTTGCCGACCTGGAGATCTCTGGGTCCGGACGCGCTCCCGGGGGAAAGAGAGCGAGGAGGGGAAAAACACACAGACACAATTAATCGTCGATCTCCCAGAAAATATTGGAAAATATGGGAAGTGGGGGGGAAGACGAAAATCCACAAAGTATGGAAAAATATGGGGGATCGTGTAGTTGTGTGTATTCATTTGTGTGTCCCAGGGCCCCTTTGGAGAACGGCGGGGAGCGGAGGCCAGGGCCACTCTGGTTGACCCAAGAGGGGGTCCAGCGACAAGGGGGTGGTGCAACAGATTTGGTGCAACACATTGTGGGGTTGCAATCGGTTTGGCGAAGAGACGGGGAGGACGTGGATGGGGGTCAGTGGCGGGAAAAGGGAGAGGAGGGGAGAGGAAGAAAAGGAGGGGAAGAGAAGGAGAGGGAGGAGGCGGTGGGGAAATGGGGGAGTGGTGAGGAGGGAGGTCGGAGGAGAGAGGGATACAGGAAAGGAAGGCGGGCGTGTTTCCACTGGTTTCTGATACAAGGCTGCTGATGTTCAATGAACGCGACAGCCAGGCAAACTGGTACCACAACTCTGTGTGACCTCGTGACAGGCTAACGAGGGAGTGGCGGGAGTGGCGATGATGGGAGAGGGGGAAGAGGAAATAGGGCATGGCAAAAGAGGGGAGAAGAGTGGGGGGAGGGAAGAATCGGGAATACGCGGGGAGGAGTGTCGAATAGAGGGGAGATGGGCTGAGGAGAAGCGAGTCCTCATCTGCAGCTGCTGCCTTTGCTGCTCCCACTGCTGTTGCTGATCATCCCTGCCCGTGCTTCTTACTATCCGGAAGCACTCGGCGACCCTTGGGCAGATGCAGATACAACAGCGGCAGTCACGTAACTCAGCGTGAACTTAGAGAGGAACGCAGTCAACCCAGCCACTTCCAGCGTGAATCCCGATAGCCCTTGGACGACCGATCCGGCGCGAGTCGAGGGACAGCAGAAGTGCTCAGGCCCTGAGGTGGTTCCAGTCCAGCTGCTGCTGCTCCGTCTTTGCTCCCCCCCCCACTCCTCCTCCTTCTCCTCCTCCTCCTCCTCCTTCTCCACGTCCTCCACCTCCTCCGCCTCCGCCTCCGCCTCCTCCTCCTCCTCCTTCTCCTCCACCTCCTCCTCCTCCTCCTCCTTCTCCTCGTCGTCGTCGTCCTCCTCCTCCTCCTCCTCCTCCTCCTCCTCCTCCTCCTCCTCCTCCTCCTCCTCCTCCTCCCCCCGTCGCCTTCTCCACCCCGCGTGGTCCTCCAGGTCCATGGGTGACCTGCAGCAGCAGATGCGCCAGCTGCACCGCCGCAGCGTCGGCCTCGAGGACGCCCTGCGCGCCTCGCGCTCGCGGGGCGCGGCGGCTGAGGCGGAGAACGCGGAGCTGCGCCAGCTGCTGCGGGGGCTGCACGACAGGGCGCCAACGGCCGGCTCCAAAGATCGAAAGCCGACGCCAGTCACACCGATAATAACCACCCCGATAATAACCACCCCGACACGCGAGGCCTTTAGTAAACGCGCCCAAAGAAGGAGTCGAACAGGGCAGGGCTGTTCAGTAAACGCCCAGGGCCGTTTAGTAAACGCCGATTGTCTGGTGCGGGTGTTTTTTTCTCTCTTGAGCCGGAGTGGTGACCTTGAAATGGTTCCCGGGTCCTTAGTCAATCGCTGCCGATTTCACAGGACATGTTGTCGTGCGATCATGAGCGCGTGGAGGTATTGCGCGGCAAAATGTGTACGCTTCTGTTCGTAGTGCTACGCATGAAGATCCCGACAGGCAGGACATGCGTCTACTGTTGTGAACCTCAAGTTGTTGTCCCATTGGTTGAGCGAGAAATATGATTGCCCCTTTCTACCCCGCCGTGCCCTCAGACTGACAGTCTGTGCAGTGCTAGCGGATGAAGGGGGAGGAAGGAGGAGGAGGAGGAGGAGGAGGAGGAGGAGGAGGAGGAGGAGGAGGAGGAGGAGGAGGAGAGGAGGAGGAGGAGGAGGAGGAGGAGGAGGAGGAGGAGGAGGAAGAAGAGAAGAAGGAGGAGGGGGATTCGGTAGCAACTTATGGGGGCCTTGCATGTCGTTGCAATTCAGTCTTTAGAGTGCGTCCGCATGCGCTAGCGTCTGGTCATCGATGGGAAAGCGCCGATTTAGCGTAAATCAATATCGATTCGCACAGAAGGAGGAGCTAAGAGGACGCCTCTTTCTACCTCGTGGTGCCTCCAGTCTGACGGCTACAGAACGCTCGTGCAACACGACAAGCGATAGAGGTGATACGCTAGCGTAACCCTACCAGCTCATCCAGAAACGATGCCCAGACGAGTTGCCCAATCAGAGATGTGGAGGAGCATGTAATTGACTAAAACGGCTGGATAAGACGTTATACCCAAACAGGGGGATGATGGAGGAGGAATCGGTGGAGGAGCAGGAGGAACAGGAGGAAGAGGAGAGTAGGGATAGGGGGAGGAGGAGGCGGGAGGAGGGAAGGAGGAGGAATAGGCGGATGAAGAAGCGGAGAAGAAGGAGGATGATGAGCGGGAGGGCGAGCAGACAGGCCAGAGGCATCTTGGATGCCTCTCGGAGTCTCTTCGGATGTCTGTCGAGAGCTTCTTGGATGCCTCTTGGGGCGGTCTGGGGGTCTCTTGGCAGTCCCGGGGGCCTCTTGGGGCGTCTTGGGTGCCTCCGGGGGGCCTCTTGGGGCCTCTTGGGGGTCTCTTGGGAGCCTCTTGGAGGCCTCTTGGGGGTCTGTTGGGGGCCTCTTGGAGTCTCTTGGGGCACCCTTGGAAGCCTCGGTGGCCATACGGGGCCATCTTGGATGAGATCATCGATGCAAGAAGGGGAAGATTCTAATTAGAGCCCCCCCATTAGGCGAGATTATGGCCAACACCGTAGTACAATCAATGCTTGTGGCTTTTTTGCCGAGGCCTCTTGAGGCGTCGTGGGTGCCTCTGGGGGGCCTTTCGGGCCTCTTGGGGGTCGCTTGGAAGCCCCTTGGGAGCTTATTTGGGGCCTCTTGGGGGCCTCTTGGGGCCCCTCTTGGGGCCGTCTTGGGGCACCCTTTGGAGCCTCGGGGGCCATCTTGGGGCCATCTTGGGGTCAGTCGATCAAAGGAGGGGGGGCTCCTTCAAAAAGGGTTCCCCCCAGGAGGCCAAAATGTGGCCAACGCCTTAGTCGCATGTATGATTTTGGCCTTCTCGCCGAGGCCGCTTGGGGCGTCGTGGGTGCCTCTGGGGGGCCTCTGGGGGGTCTCTTGGGGTTTTGGGGGGAGCCTCTTGGGCACATCTTGGGAGCCTCTCCTGGGCACCTCTTGGGGCCGTCTTGGGGCATTCTTGGGAGCCTCGGACGCCACCTTGGAGGAGATCATCGATCCAAGAAGGGGAAGGCTCCAATTAGCGTTGCCCCCCCCCAGGATGCCAAAATGCTGCCCGACCCCAGGTAAAATACATGATTTTGGCTTCCTCGTCGAGGCCATTTTGGACGCTCTAGCTGCTCGCTGGACGCCCCGTCCAGACCCAGGGGTAGGGGGTAGGGGGAGGAACCAAGACACTCGCCCCGCCCGCAAGCCGTCTCGATCACTCCCACCCGCCCTCCCAACACATAAGTCGCACCCGAGCCTCAGCATGTTTAGCGGGCGTCTTTGGATGGACAGCTACTGTGAACCCAAAGCGACCCCATGTGCGCGACGCTGGGGCGAGGTGCGCCACGCGTGCCAGGCGCGCCACGCGCGCCAGGCACCCCTGGGACCCGAGCGTGCCAGGCACGCCTGGTGCGCCAGATGCGCCACTTGCGCCAGGTGTGCCGCATACTCCAGCCGCGCCTGGTGTACCACCTTCGGGGCACGTGCAGAGTGTGTCAGGTGCGCCTGCGTACGGGACAGCACACACCGGGAAACAGGTGCCCCCCCATCCTTGCCGACAACCAATGCCCATCATTGTTATTAGTGAGCCTGCGCACAGCAGGCCATGCGCCACCACCCCGCTGTCCCTGTCAACAACTACTAAACAGTGATCGCGGGGCGGCCGCGCATGATCCAGGTTTCGCCGCGAGGTGCATTTGGTATAGTTTTTGACGGGGATGGTGGCCTTGCGCACAGCAGGCAATCTGCTGACACCCCCGCCGTCCCAGTCAAAAAAATACAAAGTGCTCGCGGGCCTCACGAACATGATTCAATACTTTGTCCCAAAGTATACGTTCTATTTCTTTAAAGAGGGATGGTGGGGGGGGGCGCATCAGGTTGGCTGCGCATGCTCCGAATTTGGAGGCATAGTGTGTTTTGCATTGCTTGTTGACAGTGATCGTGGGGGGTGTGATCATGGTGGTCGGCATTGTACGTGGTTGGCTGCCGGTCGCCTGGGGGAGGGGGTGTATATACATGGGGAACTGATAAACCCCTTCCTGAAGGGGAAGAGGGGGGGGGAAGAGAAATCGCTCTAAAGCACTTACGCCCTAAAGGGCTGGTGGGATTATGTTCCAGGTGATGCCTCTGTCGACCCGACTTTGTGGCCGAGCGGAAAGACTGCCCCCCAGTGTACTTCGCGGTGCCCTCAGTGTGTATTACTGCTTTATGCGCCAGGAGCGCAAGGGCGGGCAAGGGGACCCGACCTTTCCTCTTTCCTGTTTTCGCCGCAGTCGTAGTCATAGTCGTAGTGGGGCGACCGATAGGGGAAATCGCAGCAGTCCAGCGTCCAGTGGTGGTTCCAGCTACGGTCAGGTCAGTGACACGACACTGCATGTCGTAAAGGCCGTTTGGGCTGCACTCGCTCTCTGTGGTGCCATCCTTCTCCGCGCGCTTGTCTCTGTCATGTGGCTCGGAGCACTTTCCCTGTCGTCTGGTTGGATTCGATTTCTTGTCTGGCTTCCACTGCATGAGTGCCAAGAGGACGGGCAGGAGCGCAGGGAGAGCGGTGTGCAACTGGTTCGCAAAACCAGGATCGAGCTTTCGCACCTGCTCCAAGGCAAGGTGCAAGCTCACGGGCCGCTGCATACACAAGACAATTTCCTTGACCGCGCGATCGGCCGCCTGGGTTGCTCGATCTCTGCGGGCAGTGCGATCAGTCCGCGACCGCCTCAAGCAGCTAGCTGCGCAGCCGCTTCCCTGCATTCCAGGGACCTTGGCCAGCCCGGGCGGCGCCCCCCTCCTCCCTCCATGGCGAGGGAGGCGGCGGTTCGGGCCCCCGATGGCCCTGTAGCCAGAATGGCCAACGATGCCTCCTGCTGCCCCTACTCCTGATACTCTCTTTCCTCTCCATCCGCCATGAGGCGGTTGGAAGGCGTTCGGCTTCGGCGTTTCCACTTGACGAGTATATCTGTGGTGCTCGACAGGAAGCACACCGAGGGTTGGGCGGGTCAGGCGTTTGCTGCTTTGCGTTCGCTTGTCGGCGGCAGCCACTCGTTGGAAGTTGCCCGGTAAGATATTCGTGGGCAGAAGGGTTTTCAACATGGCCCGCACGGGCCTGTCTCGGGCTGGCTGATCCGTTGTAGCAGTAAACCGAGTTGGCCAGCTCATATGAGAATTTGCTTCAGCTCTATACCAAGCAGCCCGCGAAGGCGATCATTCCGCTTTCATGGTGCTCAGTCGTTTTGCGGCGCTGGACCGCTCACTTCCTGTCCAGGTCTGCTATGATTGTCCAGGTGCAAGCGGCGCGCCTTAGATGCCAGTGAGGCAGTGAGTAGTAACAGCCTTAGGCAGCACCCCTGGAAGGATCTGTGAGCGGGCATCGGTCGTCGGGCTGTCGTTCGCAAAGTAAGAGCTCATTCCTCGGAGAGCGTTGCCAGGGCGCACCATGAGGTTTGGATTGTGGGTGGTAACAAGATGGCTGCTACTCGTACGTTTGCTATGGGAAATGCGCTACTTGGGAGCATCCCTGAACACTGGCCCCTGTTCGTCTCTGGCTGTGAGCGCATGGTCGTACAATCTGTGGATGGTAGGGGTCAGCTGGTCCTTGGCTCTTTTGAGATACCAAACCCCCACGGTATTGCAGGCAACACGGATATTTGACTGTGATTTGGAGGGTGCGAGGTTTTTCAGAAGGGGTCCCATGGCCGAGTGGGCTACGGCGCCTCCTGTGACTCCTCCCCCGCGTCCTTTCCAGAGCTTCCTGTACTCGGAGGAGGCCCCTTGGGCCGTGCGCGGCACTCTGTGGTTCAGGCCGAACTGCTCTCGGCTTCATTCTATTGCAAACTCTAGCGGCCTCGGTGCCCCAGAAAGCTCGAGGAGGCATGTTCTCTCTGAGCCTTGGGTCTGAGCACCGAGGGCTCAAGACACAGCGCTCCCGTTTAAGGCGTCTATCTTTCCTGGCCGCAAATTGGGGACGGCCACCATCGTCTCAGCTGGTGGGCCGTCAGTGGTCTTGAAAGCTGTGTGGTGCCCCCTGCTGTCGAGCACGGAGATCCTAACAGCGAAGCTGTGGGGACCTCTGATTCGGCTGAGATGGAAGGGCAGCGGAGCTCCCCTGTGGTGGGCCTGCCCGGCTTTGGCGCCTCCCGCTTGGCCAAGCTGCATGCTCTCAGCTTTCCTGAGGCGCTGGTTAAGCGGGAGCGCTTGCAGAGCCAGTGCAAGGGATGGTGTTGAAACTGCTTGGGGATAGGAGCAGGAGGAGGACGGCACACACCAGACACATCCATTCAGAAATCTTGCTATAAGACATCTTAGGGCACGCTCTTCGTCGATCTTTGAGGGTCCTAAGGTGCCCCAAAGCTTCTGTGGGTCACTGGGGCCATCAGGTGATAAGACATTTGCTCGGGGCACCTGGTGGCATGCCGATGTTGTATGCCATGTGTATACTGTAGGGTCGAAGAGCCGTCAAGCGGCCCGCTTCATTTGAGTCCCTTAGAGGCCCTCCCTATCCTCTCTTCTCCTTCCCCTCCTCCGTACTCCTGCTGACAGCCTGATGGCGGCGGCGCCTGTGCGGGCATTCCAGGTTGAGCACCCTCTGTGGGCTAGTCTCGGGGCCACGGACCGACAAAAGACTTTTTTGTTTGATTCGCGGGTCGAGAGCGAGCCTCTTCTGGTCGAAGCTAAGCGGGCTGCGCACAGCTTTAATTAACAGAGGAAGGGAAAAAGAAGGCGGGGCCTCACGTCAAGGCCAAGAGAGGGCAAAGCCCCGGGATCAGGCGGTCCTGAAAGCGAAGTGCATGCAACCGACAAAAGACAGACCACGGCGCAGAGTTCGCACGAATGCTGAGGCCGAGGCCCTCCAGGGTCACAGTTCGAGTCTCCCCACCCTCAGGTGGCCACAGGCGGCCTGACCCGGGCCAGTCGCTCAAGGCTCATCGATCTACACCTGTCGGACGGCGAACGTCGCTCATCATTGGATGACCTTCGCGGTGCCGGAACACATCGACGTCCCCCCACCCGAACGCTCTCAGGTGCAGTCCCTCGAGGGCCAGGTCGCGGACCGCCCCGCCGGGCCGCGCCCCCGAACGCCGGCGGGCGGCGCTTCGCTGGGAGGCGGCGGGGGGCCGCGGGCACCGGGTGTCGCTGAGCGGCCCTCGCTCTCTCAGCAGGGTCCTGCCGATCTTCCCTCCCTCCGTCCTCCCTCCTCCGCTCTCCCCCTTCAGGAACCTCTTCGCTCGAGCCGTTGGTCGCCAGGCCGCTCGGCTCGCCGTTGCACGAGCGGTAGCGGTTGCGGATCCCGCGCCGCGGCGGCCGGCGCCGCGGTGGCCGCCGCCCGTGGGGCGACCCTGGCGGCGCACGCGGTGGCGCCTTGACACCCGCCCTCCTTGTCTACGAAAGCGACCCGTGCCAGCTGCTGGGGCATATATACATATATATATATATATGCTTGTGTGTATGTGTACAGTGGATTCATGACACATATATAAACACATGTTTCGACATATTTATAAACATATGTGTTTATACATATGTATGAAGATCGATAGGCACATACACACATGCACATATTTATATGTATATGTATGTATATATGTGTATATATACATATGTAGATATGTGTATATATATATGTATATAGGTACATGCATGTACGCACATATACCATGGCACGGGAAGAGAGGCGAGTCGGTCGAGCGGAGCCCAACGGGCGGGTCGGTTGGACGGACTCCAGCGGGCGGCTCCCGCGCGAGCCGCCCCGCGGGGCTCTCCGGCCGCCGGGGCCGTAGAGGCCCCGGGAAAAGCTTGAGCCCCGATGAGCACAGGGGGGGGGGGAAGGGGGCAGTCCCCGCCTCCTGGAACCTTACGTTGAGTTGCGCCCGAGCTCTCACACCCAGTCTTTGCCTCGTCGCTCACTCACTGTCTGCTCCCCTTCATCCCTCCTCCTTCTCCTCCCCACTCTCCCCACTCCCCCGCCTACCAGCCATTCGCTGCTTTCCGCTCACATTTCTCTCAGGGGGGAGTGGGAGGCACGATGGGCGTCGACCTGGATGCCGAGCTGGCACTGAGGCGCCGAAGCAGGCCTCGTTTTATTATATTGGACGCTTGACGATAGCATGCGGCCAGTCTTCCCTCCCAAACATTTCCGCGCTGTACTAGTGCAGTTCATCTGTTTTGACGATCTAGTGTATGTGTTGTGCGGTCTACTGTTTGCCGTTGGAGCCGAAACAGTGTAAGGCAGTCCGCTGGCTTTTTGGATGCGACACGCTTGTGGGACAGCCTGTAACAAGTCTCTTCCCGCGCAGATTGGGGGCATCTTCTCCCCTCCACACTGAAAGTAAGTTTGGTATTCGGATATATCTCCCTTGAGCGTTCGCCGTTCAGTCGATCCACAGGAGATGCTTCGTGCAGATGTCCTTGCTTGGTCGGGCACCCTGGCTTCATCTGGTCCTTTCTGTGAATCCTGAGCAGCATCCAACTCACCCGAACCACACTTACTCGGGGCTCCTTCAGCCTGTGATGGAAACCGCGCCTGCAATTAGACAGAACGTTAGCGTTCCTCTCTTCGGCTTCGCTCACGCCCCAGTACCTTCCATGCTGGAATGTGCAATCACATTGAAGTTGGAAAACAAGCGAGCACATCTCGCCGCTGTCTTCGGTCAAAGGAATCGATCTCGCTCGTCGTCGATGGGTTCCATTAGTACTGGTCACGATCTCCGCCTATCCGGCTCCCATTTCTTCAGCCCGCTCCCCTTCAGGAAGATCCCACCGCTCGCGCTCGGGTCGAGGAACAATTCCTTGCCCTTGGGACGTGGGATCGGCAAAGAGCAAGGTGGAGGAGGATGAGGAGGATGAGAAAGAGAGATACGAGGAGGAGCATGAGGAGGAAGAGGGGGAGGGGCGCGGAGGCGTGCCATGCAGAGGGGTGGAGAAGATCTGGGGTAAGGAGGGCATGAGCCTGGAATGGCCAACAGTGTTCTTGTGCATTGGTGCTGCCAACGAAGCCAGACATCAGAATGCAAAGGTCTCAGGCAGGGCGCCTTCTGGGCCACCTGAGTGCTCGGCTGGGCTATGGTCTCAACGCGCGTGTGCCCAAAACATTTGGGGTGGGGCGTTCGGGCCCTCTCAGGGCTCCGTTGGACACAGTCTGGCTCTTCCTGGGGCCTTGTCGGAACATTGTCGGCCCTTGGCCTTTGGCTCTCTTGGGTCTGCTTGGGGGGTTCTCTTGCGCCTCTTGGGCTTCTATGGAGCCCTCGTGGGCCACCTTGCATGCTGGAAGATTGTCATGCCGCCTTAAGCTTGGGCTTTCTTTGTGGCACCCTATCCGTCTCGTTTCAAGCAGTACGTATGCTATTCAATGCCCCTGGCTGTGTCAACTGGCGAAACATGACCCCTGCAGCGCCGGTTCTTGGAATGCCGTAGGGTGAGGTATTGATGTGCCGTGCTCAGACAAGCTCACGCGAGCAGAGGAACTTGGCGCGTACTGTTTTCCACGGCCGCCACGACTTTGTGCCACACGTGGTTCCGCGGACGAGCAGGATGTCATGTTGTTGCTGTTTGGGCCAGTGGCTCCAGTGCCCGCTGCTACGACGAGTTCAGAAGACATGCGCATCCCAGCGGCTTCCCATGCTTGCCCGGAGCGCTTTGCACAAGGAGATTTCCTTTCCGTCGCCGCCCCAGGGCCGTGACCATCCCCTCGCACGTTTGTGTCATTGTTGGACCCTCTTGTAGCTGCTGCCTCGAATAATTGCGGGTCTCGGTGCGTGCTCTGGGCCCGCCCCAAGCGATTCCAGTTCCAGCCCTGAGATCCGCAAGCAAACATGCAATCGAAGCACGTGATCAGGTTGCAACTGCAGCGCAGCCAGTACTGACCCTGATGAACTTGGCGCGACCACAGTCGGAGGTCTTCTGTCTTCGAGAGGAGCGACTGTTTCGGCAATGCAAACCAAGTCATCTCAATTCTTACTGACCAAGACAAGGGACGTCGTTGCAATGCTACGCAAACGAATACGATGCAAAGCAGTGCACATCGCTGCAAAGACAGGTGACGTGAAGAAACACATCATGCAGCGCAGGGCATTTATCGACAGTGTAACACTTTCAAGCCACGTAGAATGCACCAGTGCAAAACAGATCCGTGCGACACAGGGCGGTTCAAAGTAATGCAGCGCAAGACTTGCTGGGCAAATCTAGGCAGCGCCAAGCACATGAATACAGTGCAATGGAAAACAGTTCAGTTGTTTGCACCGCGATTCAGTGAAATCAATGAGAAACGATGAGAAGGAATGCCGCGCAAAATCAATGCAAAGCAATGCAAACAGTGCAAAGCAATACAAAGCACTGCAGCGCAAAGCAAAGCAAAGCGTTGCACGCGCACTTTCAAAGAACGGGCGCCATGGGCGACCTTGATTGGCGACCCTACTGGCAATCGGCAACCCCGATCCGAGGGTCCGACCCTGGGGGCCTGGGCGATCCCGCATCCTCGTAGCTAGAGGCCAGGTGCCCGCGCCACCCCGAGGGCTCGGGGCCGCCTCCCGCATGGTCACCAGGGCTTGCACGCAATATGCAGGAGCCCCTCAGGCAAAGCCTAGTTTGGAAGAGGCACCTTTCATTTTGCCATCGTGGTATGTGCATGAACGCCCAGTGCCACAAACATCGCATAGTGGCACGAAGACACGAAGTGGCGCTTTTATCGCTCAACTTGTTTTTCCTGGCGCAGCTTGCCATGAGGGTGCGACGCATCGACAGCTGCTCGGATCACGCTCGACGGCACCCGATGCCACCTTTCAGGCGAGCTCAGAGCGCTGCGCCTGGCATGTCCTGTCTGCGGATCCATCGCAGCCGTCCCGGTGGGTTTCTCGGGTCCCGGGCAGGTTCCGGTCGCTGAGCCCCCGGGCCACCAGCGGCTCCGGCGCCGCGGCTCCGCGGGCCCGCGGCGGAATTCCGCCGGGCCGCGCAGGCGCGCAGACGGGGGGGGGAAGGTGGCAGGCAGATGCGGTTCAAGAGCATGAAGGGAACGGGTCCTTTCAGAAAGGGTTCTTGGAAGTTGTTCGCCGTTTTCGGGCCCCATGGCCTTCCCTTGGCCTCGGGGTCGTCAAACAAGTAGGATGAGAAGCTGGTCTTAGGAAAAGGTCTAGGTTCTAGGACTTCGTTTCCTTGGCGAAGTCAAGATAAATAGTTCTCCCCCGCCCGCCCGTCCGTCCGTCCGTCCAGCGGTGGCTCGCGGTGTCCCGCGGTGTCCCGTGGTGGCCCGTGGTGGCCCGTGGTGTCCCTTGGTGTCCCGTTTAGTGAGATCGATAGTGAGATCGATAGTTAGATCGAATACCAAGATCGATACCGAGATCGATGTTGTGCCCCGAAGTGTCCGTGGTGTCCCAAAAAGTGAGATCTATAGTGAGATCGATGGTGAGGTCGACAGGTGTCCCGTGGTGGCCCGTGGTGTCCCGTGGTGTCCCGTCGAGTGAGATCGATACTGAGATCGATACTGAGATCGATGTGGTGCCCCGAGGTCTCCCGTGGTGTCTCGTGGTGTCCCAAAAAGTGAGATCGGTGGTGCGATCGATAGTGAGATCGACAGGTGTCCCGTGGTGTCCCGTGGTGTCCCGTTGAGTGAGATCGATAGTGAGATCGATAGAGATCGATAGTGAGATCGATGTGGTGTCCCGAGGTGTCCCGTGGTGCCCCGTGGTGTCCCGTGGTGTCCTATGGTGCCCCGTTGAGTGAGATCGATAGTGAGATCGATCGTGAGACCGATAGTGAGATCAACAGGTGTCCCGTGGTGTCCCGTGGTGTCCCGTGGTGTCCCGTGGTGGCCCGTGGTGTCCCGTGGTGTCCCGTTGAGTGAGATCGATCGTGAGATCGATAGTGAGATCGACAAGTGTCCCGTGGTGGCCAGTGGTGTCCCGTTGAGTGAGATCGATAGTGAGATCGATTGAGTCAGATGTTGGTTCCCCCCCTTCTCCCCCCCACAACCCCACAACCTCTTTATCACCCGAAGGGTGGTCGTATAGGTACATGTTCGAAGTTCCGTGCGGATTTTCTGGGTCGGCGTTGGGCCCCCCCCTGACGGTGCCTTCGGTGCCAATCTTGGCGCGCCGCGCACTTTGGGGGATGGGGGTTCGGACTCGACCCAAGAGATCAGCGCGGACCGCCAGAAGTTCATGCGAATACCGAATCCAGTGGAGCGGCGGAAAAACCTGTCTCGAAGCCTCGTTTTCAGTATCAGCTGTGACGCCAAGGTGTCTAGCGTCTCAAAGGAGCCGAAGCCCATGCCCGAACCAAAATGGGTACGGAAAGGGGCTGAGTGTCTGGCATCTCTTGGGAAACTCTATAATCGCTCTCGAGCATCTCGCACGCCCCAGAGTTCTAGATGGCAAGGCGCTTCTTTACTCCGCCAGCTCCCCTTCCTAGAAAAAACGAAACTCGGTCCGAGCAGAATTTACATCTAGCAGAACACGCAGCGCTTGGATATGAAAAGAGATGTATCGAGCAAGCTGGAACCTACAGCGAGCGTGAAGTGCCAGATGCAGACGCTCGGCACCTTATAGCGGGGGTCGACCCAGTAGGTGCCTCCGTAGTCGTAGTATCCGACCTTGGTCGGCCAAACGCGCATCTCCTGGTCACCCTGGATCTCCGATCCTGGTCGTGTCTTGAGCGTCCGATCCTCCGCGACGCTCACGAGCTCCCCCATCCTGCAGAATGCCACGAAGCAGGTCCGCGCAAGTATTCCTCATAGTGAGCGGGTCGGTGATTTGATGTCGTTGGCCGTCCACCTGTCGGACGGCCGCCTGGCTGTCCTTCATGCGCTCCCGCGGCATCGCCATGTCGAGCGCTGCCCGTCGGTCCTTGCCAGGACCTGCTGGGATGTTGTACAGGTGGTCGTGCAGGCACTTGCCGTCGGTCCTCATCGTGAGCGGACAGGCGCGTCCCGCCTCTAGGGGCGCCCCGGGCGTCCGGGCCCGGGAACGCCAGCTGTGCGCACAAGGCCCTCGGGCAGATGCTGGTCGCCAGGCCCTCGTCCGCGCCCCACGTCTCCGCCGCCAGGGAGTGCGGTACCTTCCGAGCCAGTCGATGAGACCTCCACGCGAGCGGTGACCCCACTGTCCGTCGCAGATCCGCACATTCCCCGCCATGAATAGCCAGCCTGCTTGGCTGGCCTGGTCCTTCGCAGTCGCTCATGCCGCGTCGGCTACCGAGTAGAAGCTTTTGTAGCTTAGCTCGATTGGCCTGACCCACAGGCTCGTGTGGAAGAAATCCTTCCCGATCCTTACCAGCCGATTCCCTTCCAGCACCTTCGGCTTCGGGAACGTGCTCTGCAGCAGGGACACCGGTCTACTGAGATCTGGCCTGGTCTCTCGGTCGACATAGTTGAGGGATCTGGCCACGGCCCTCAGGGCGGAGATCTCCTTCTCGTCGCAGGGCTCGTTAAAGCATGGGCCGGCGTCCCGCTGGAATGTTGATCAGCTTGATCTCCTCCACCATGGTCTTCCGGTTGATCTTGATAGACTTGTCGGGTAGTTGCTCCAGCTGCATGCCATGCCCAAGAAGTCGCCCTTGCCCTTCTGGTACTTACCGAAGGGAAACCTCTGCTTGATCCTAGCCATGGCCCTCTGGAAGTACTCGTCGCCTCCTCCACATGTCTCGTCTACTGCCAGCGCCTGTGACCCTCGGTATTTGCCGTTCTCGTGCAGGTTGAGCAGGCATGGGTCGTAGGAGCTGATCTTGAAGCCTGCCGCCAGCGCCTCCGTAGTGAAGCTCTTGTACCATAGAAGTGGTGCATCTCCCAAGCCGTAGACACAGACCAGCACCTCTAGAAGCGAGCCCGGATCCACTCCAAGCACTCCGTCGACGGGTTGTTCGCAGTAGAGGGGTCCTTGCTTCCTCTGGTACCTGTGCCCGTGCATGAATCCCGAACTCATGTCTCCCAATTCGATGTCAAAGCCCATGGAAACGTTCAGCTGCATGCTAATCATCCAGGCCTCCTTGGAGATCATCGGTGAGTAGGTCTCGAGCTCCGCGAGGTCCGGGTCCTTATCGCCGCGCCCGATCTAGCGGCACTTGGCCGTCGTGTTGCCGTCCTTCATCTTCTAGATGTAGCAGTGTCGGCTCGGCATGGCTCTTCCAGCATAGGCCCTTTTGATGCCATTAGCCTCGCTGGGCGACACGATCCGAATCGCGTTGGCGTCGAGGATGTTCTTCCACTCCACGTCTCTGGCCTTGTAGAACTGCTCCTTCTCCTCGTCACTCATGTTCTTCAGTTGGACCTCCTTCTGCTTCGCGTCCTGCTTGACGGACAGGTCGGCTGACTCCACCGTCTGGTAGATGGACTCCACCATGTCGTCGGTCGCGGGCATCTCTGGGGTCTCGTCCACAGGTCTCTTGGACGGGTCCTGTCGCTCCGGGACTGGTCCAGGCGAGTGCACCTCCTGCGCTGACCTCTTGAACGTGACTCTCTTTTGGGGTGCCTTCTCCTCGACGGGCGGTCTGCCTATCATGGGCACGTCCGGAGGCCCCTCAGCTCCGTCACCTTTTCCTTCGCCTCATGGTAGCACCACATCGGGAACAGGAGGTCCTTTACTGGTGTCGCTCTTCTCCTTCTCGTTCGCCTCTGGCTCTTCTGAGGTAGGCGGCCTCGGCTTGTCCTCTGCGTCGGGCGGCTCCAGCTTGTCCGATATGTCCTCCACCTTGCGTTTGCCCTGGCTACCCGCGGGCTTCCTGCTGCCGCCCGTGTCGGCCACGTAATGGTTTGCCTGCACCTCCGCCTGAGTGGCGGCTCGCAGCTGCTTCCAGCTGCACAGGATGATTCCCCCTGGTACGATACGAAGGCCTTGCCCGAGGATGTTCGTACTGATCACTCTTGCGGGTCCACGCCAGTGCTCCCAGGCCTCTCATTTGGTGCCTTGCTGCCTCCAGAAGTAGACTTTGTCCCCAGGCTCCAGTCGCCTCGGAACGGTGTGCTCCGTCTGCTCTTGGCGCGGTCCAGTCGGTCCAGGATGGACTCTCGAGCGTAGTTTTCCCGAGCGGCGAGTCGGAGTCCGATGGCCCTGGCCAGGGCACGATCTACAGCAGCATGTCGGGATACAGTCTTCAGGCTCACGTCTGTGTCATCCTCGTGGGAGCCTTCCGGTAGACGAACTCCATTCCCCAACACTTGTGAGTCTGGGCCTCGCTCGTTCACGGCGCAGTTGGCTGCGTCAAACAGCTCTTCTTGGTCTTCGGCGCTCAGGATCGCCTTCGCCAGCATGATGCTGTAGTAGGTCCTCTTCCATAGCTGGCCCGCGGTCTCGGTCTTCCGGTTCTGGTATTCACTCTCGGCCCCGACGGGGTCGAGCTCGGTGCTTTCCGCGCTGGCCTTGTCCGCGAACACCCCTCCGATGATGCCCCTCTCCCGGTCGCTGATCAGGCGCTTCGGTCGTCCATACGGCCGCACCCAGTATTTGCGATACGCCTCCCTCATCGTGGTGCTCTCCCGGTCCGGGAGCCTGACCACCATCTGCTTGCCGGTGCCCCAGTCGACGATGTTGAGGCATGGGGTGATCTCGTTCTTAAGCTTGTCCTGGTTGTCCCAGGTCGTGTCCACGAACAGCAGGTCCATGTCGATCACCTCGTTGAACTCGAAGCTCTCTGGCGTGGGTAGTCGTGAAGGTAGCGTGGATTTCGGGTGCTTGGTAGCGCCGCAGACGTCGCATTCCTCGATGACTCATCGCGTCCAGCAGCTCCAGCTTCGCCTTCGCCATCTTCAGGACGAACGTCGTCCGCCTCAGGTCGGCGTTGCCGAGGTTGGCGCGGATCCGTTTGGCAAGCGTCTCCCAGGTCTTTCTTTCCTCCAGGGCCCGTAGATGATGAATCGTAGAGTGCCATCGCCACGCTAGTATCCTCGATCGGGCGCCCGACGTTCTTGGTGATTGCCCTGCGGACTGTCTTCACCAGGTTGGGAGGATAGACTTGCGACCATTTTGA